TTTTCATTATCTGGAAATTGTTTGCATTATGTAAAATGAGTTTGGTCTCATAGTGGCAGCCTTAGGTAATTGAGAATGTTTAGAAATAAACCAAACAACAGCAAAAATCCTACTGATATTAGTTGCTGTTGTTACAATTCTATTTCTGCTTGTGGTAGCAATATTGGACTAAATCTTGCCACAGTATTGACTTTTAATTAAAATCACAGCAATATAATGTACACACCTCAAGGCACATGGGCTGAGGGAGGTGCTGTGAGGAAGTCATAATAATAAAATTCCCGTAGGATCACTGAATTCAATGATAACCACAAATCACAAGATCAAGTTAGAAAGCTGTCACTAGAACAAAATGTTGTTAGTACTTGATATGGGATCAGTGTACTTTCTGCTATAAATTCACATTTTCCCGTGGTAATTTTCCCCTCCCTGAGTCTTCTGCCATGTTTCTTAGCAGGTGACCAGAGTTCACCTAGGAGGGATGAACTCACTGTCTTAGTCAAGCCTCCCTACATCAGCAGCTTTATCAGCTTCTGGTGACTCAGCTGAACCTTTAGTATTCAGCAACACCATTGGGAAAGAAATACATGCAATCCATCATATCAGATTAGAGATTCTGCTAACTATTAAGATTGGAGAAGAGTTGAGAAATCCCTTTGAAATAATTTGCAGTATTCGTTTCTTATTTTTTTTCCTAAAGCTCTTTAAAACTTGAGCAGAGGCTGCCTTCATATACGTTTATTAATAGAATAAAAGATCCATTCAGTCATGCATAAAACAACATCTAGAAAGAGTGCAAGAGAATGCACTCTTCCCATTTTGAACAACATAACTAATGCTCACTACTGCTCATGCTTTTCTATCTTCATTTTAATTCTTGCAGTGGAATACTGTTCTGTGCTGTAAAAACATGATGTGATTAACCTTAGGGTCCCCCCATCCCCTCATCTCAAAGCCCCCTCGTACATGGCCTATGCTTTCTATTCATGTTCAACCATCTGATTTCCATATCATCCCGCTCAGCCTCACAAGCAGCTATTAGCATAACAGAGCTTTAGTGTGACATTGATTGAAGCCAGTGCTAGCTGAATGCAGTATCAAAGCATAATTTGCCAGAAATCAAATCTAATTTACTGTGTACTATTTAAATTTCTAAAAAAAAAAAAATAAGTTTCAATAGACGTATACTAGGTCTGTGTTCTTAATTGTTCTTTTTTCATATTTTTGTCTACTCCTCTGGAATCCAAGCAATATATTTCCTTTTAGAGCCATTGTCTTTGACTTTCAAATGTCAATTAAGCAAGAGTTTTTCCACTCTGTTTATTCCAATCCAGTTAATGTTACATCTGAAACAGTAAAGGGTAATAGTTTGATAGGCACAACACTCAGTTTGCTGCTTCATAACAGTTTTTTCAAAAGATTCTTCTAATGACCTTAATGCTTAGCTTGAATTAAGCATTAAAGTACCACATAACTTTAACAGCTGAAGCATATCAAGCCTGCTGTTATTTCTCTAACACTACCTTTTCAGAATGTTTTAAAAATTGACCTACTTCAAGAGAAGCAATAATGGCTTGAATTAGGTTTTGTCCATCGTTTCACTGAAGCTGGGCTTCGAGGAAGTCATGATCTCAGTTAACCTTTCTGCAAAATGGGAGTAATAATATTTATCTATCTTTATAAACAGCATTTGCGTATGAAGATAATGAGGTCTATTTTTAGGAAAATGGGAGAGCCCAAGTGCTTATTCTGTCAAAGAAGCCTTGCCATCTCTGAGCAGGGTCATGTTGTGTTCTCTGAGGATAATGGCAGTCTTACTGCTTTGGTAGTTATACTTGACCATGAATTACTCCTGCAATCATTAACTGTTACTTTCAGTTTTCAATTTGTATTATTCAACTGGAAATTGATAGACAAAACTGATACGGTGAAAACATAGTTTAAATGCTTTAAACAAGGTCATTTTTATTAGAGGCTGTCTATAAACAGAGCTCAATATGACAACAAACTGCAACAAATGAAGTTTTCCTTGTGAGATCAAGAGATTTTATTTAAATAAAAACTCTGACCAATTTATTTATTTTTACAGTGAATTTCTAGTAATTATGGCTGCAGAGAAAAGCTAGAAAATACGTTCTTGCATAACTATATCATTGTTGACTGGAATCTTTAGAAAGTCTAAACTAGTAGCTATGAGGCCATGGATCTTCTGTTCACCTAGTATGGCAAATGCTGGGTGTGTAGCAGGGAGAGAACAGAGCAACAGGGTCAGTTCATGTCATTTGGATTATCTGGGCTGAGTGACGGCCTTAATTCCTATTTCTTTTCCCTGTCTCTTTTTACAAAAGAAAGATCAGTTTTCTGCTTCTCGGGAAGTGAGAGATGTTCAAAGTTAGGGGTAGGTCAAAAATTACAAAATAGGACTCTGATTGTTCCTTGACTACCAAATTATCTTAACTTGGTCCCTGGGAAGTCCTCTACAGCAACAAGTTCAGTGCTATTACATCTGCTCAGAGCTTTGAATTACTGACTTACAGTACAGCCTTGTGTGTGAGAATGTTTCAGATGAACTCTTAAACTCACCTTGCATTTATTTGGTTATGTGATTTGAAAGATAGGCTCATGGAAATGCCGTGCCCTTCTTCCTACTGTTGAGCTGTCTCTGAGCACTGTCTGTATAACATACCTCCATTGTACAAAGTATGCCTACAAAGTGATCTTAGGTATTGATAATGCTTAGGTATGAACTATGGAATGGTCTCCTGACACCGGGTTTTTAGCACCATGATAGAAAGATTATGGTCTTGAGGCCCCCTATAATGCAGCACAGGACTCATGCATAGCTCCTGTCAAATGCAGATATAACACCTGAAGAGGTTAGAGGTTTTCTGCTCTCCCTTCTGCCTGAAGTTGCTATTGATTCTATATCAATATCCTGGGCAATGAACTCCTATGGCTGAGCAGCAAACACGGAAATAATTCAGTGACCTTTATTAAGTGGGTAGTCAGAACTGTAGAGATATCTTAGTGTAAGGTATGCCTATAGGAATGGAGGTTTCTAATTCACAACTTAAAGGTCTTTCTCTCTTTCCCATCCCATATGATTGAATGAACAAACACATGCTTTCATTACCACATTACTGCTTTCTGACACCTGTAGGGATTGCATACAGATATGCTAGGCAAAACAAGGTGAGGAAAAACAAGTAACTTCGATAGGATGAGTTTGGATCCTAGAGTATGTGTAACAACACCCGTGTTCTTACAGAAACCTCAAAGCATATGGGTATAAACAGGCAGCAGCAGGGCATCTAGCCCTTCGTCCACCTGCTGAGGCCTGGAGAAGAGGTGGACACTTCTCTCTTCAGAGAGGTCAAAACCTGTGCTTAGGAGTATGAGACAGAAGGAAGACTCCTTGTGTTGTCCCCACCTTCTGCCTTCTAAATTGATGGTGGTTCATGTTTATTAAGTGATTTGCAGTTCTTGTTTTAAGAATGCATTAGACTAGAGCTGTTGAACTGGTGCTCTTTAGACTCCTGCTGATCGGTAAAGCCGTGGGAAGTACCTCCTAAGATAACTCGTGTATTTCAAAAAAATCAGATCTGCATACATTTCTATGCAGTTAGCAGCTTTACATCGTTGCTGTCAGCAGGTGTAATCGGAAGCTGGGTCTTGATTGCTCTTCGTGCCTAATTAAATACTTTGTAATTATAATGGTGAAAATATGGTTTTCTAAAACACTTAAATTCTGTTTACCTAAAAGCTTAGTGTTCCTAAACCATCCCTCTCCACAACAACCAAACCAATAGTGTCATAGAAGAAAATTTTTTTTTAATTATTATTTTGTCCCTTTCTTTAGCCTGGCCCCAAAGTTAGCAGCCTTACATTGCTTGCATTTTTAAAATATGCCAAATAGTATAAATCCAATTCAAGTGAACTTCACTGTTGAACTAAGTGGAAGGTTTGCATGTCATGAGTAGAGAAGTCATTTACTTTATCACATCATGCTCAACATAGTGGCTGATGTCAAGTTTTTTCTCTCAAATCCTCTAACGCTGCTTCTCCACTTTCCTTCTGCCCGTTAACACCTTTTCTCTCCCTTCTTATTCCCACTAAACATTGACTCTCTATTATCCATCCCCAGACAAGTAAAACTATACTTCTCTATTAGAAATTGTCCTCTTCTGACTGTGCTTCCTATTCCCCTATGTCTGAACATGGTTAATGCCATCTACTTGAAAACATAATCAGTCCTTGATCTTTTTTCTTGTTTTAACTCCTCTTTCTCCTTTTCTTTTTCCTTGTCTCTCCCTGATCTCCTAGAATACCTATTCCTTCTTACTCACCACTCACTGCTGCCCACTAGCTCATCAAGTCTTGCTTCTTTCTTGTCTTTACACAAGCTGGATCTCCCAACTTTGTGTTGTGGACACAGTTCTTTTTACAGCAAGTCCTCCTTCCCACTCCATTCTTAACCACACTACCCCTAAGAGAACTGAGGAAACTCTTGAACCTTCCTCTCCTTTCTCAATCATTTGTAAAAGTCTAGTGGAGCAGATTGAAAAAGGCAGTCTGTATGTCCTAACTCATGTCTTGTGATATTAACTCCAGCACAATAACAAGCTCTGTGAAGTGTAGAGAGTATTTGCCCAGATGAAAGGTAGAATACATCCACAGCCAACTTCATACACACCTGACTGCTGCTCCTTAGCATCTATTGTCATCAGAATTTATTCTAGCATGTATGGTTGTAATGTTTCTTTCCTTTTTTTTTCTCTTTTTGTACAACTGGGGATATCACATACTGATATTGCTGCTATTTTTGTTGCTGTTGTTGTTTTTGTTTATATATTAGTTCTGTCTATACTAATTAATGTTTCTGGTGTCATGTCCTCTGGCATAAAACAAACCTCCATAATGTTGTCACTTTCCTTTAATATTCCTGATCTCCTCCTTGCAAAATATCCTAAATTTACACAATGGTTTTTCTTACATTGTAGCTCCCCCACAGTTTGTGGTGAGACCACGAGACCAGATTGTAGCCCAGGGTCGAACAGTGACTTTTCCTTGTGAAACTAAAGGAAATCCCCAGCCAGCTGTTTTCTGGCAAAAAGAAGGAAGCCAGGTAAGCTATAAGCACCCTATAAGTCTTTCAAGCCTTTCTAAATAGTTATATTGTTAAATTTTTAGGAATATTATTTACCTTACCTTTCGTAGATTCTTTTAATCTTTCACAGGTATTTGTCTTTTAAAGTATCACTATTTTCTACCAACAATTTGTTGCCTTTTTTTAAAAAAAGTAATATTATGAAGAACTCAAAGGCCATTAAAGTTATTGAAACTTGTGCTAGGTGCTATATAAACATATAGAAAGCAACAGTATGTATCTTAAAGACTTTTCATTCTGAAGCCCCCAACAAACAGGTGGGTGAGACAAGCATAGTAGATAAAAAAGGTATGACTCAATTTTTAACTAATCAGTGCAGTAATTACAGTTCACAACCTGTCTAGACACGATCAAGCAGATATATATCTAGCAAGCTGATTTGCATTGGCATATTCTCATAGTGCATACAGATCTAGGTTTTGAACATGATGCTTTCTTCAGTAACACGGTCGCAAGAAATTTCTAGGTTTGGTTTTGGAAATATTTCCCTGATCCTTACTGTCACTTTTTGAAAGCAAAATTTCTGATGTAGCAATCAATGTTGCCATTAGCCAATACTAACTTCTACAGCTTAATACTTGAATGTCATGCCATAACATTTTTTTACTGCTGTTACTGTGGTAGTATGTCACAGCAGAAGTTAGGCCTTCTCACTTTCAACATGCAGTTCATGTGAGTATGTTAAATTTGAACACTGTAAACTATGGGTAAGATTCTCTTTTGCACCTGAGAAAAGATTAAAAGGGGTAAATGGATGCCCAAGGACAGTGCCTTCTACAGCTCCCTGATGAAGCCTGTTATGGTTACGTCCATCTTAGAATCATAGAATCATAGAATGGTTTGGGTTGGAAGGGACCTTAAAGATCATCTAGTTCCAACCCCCCTGCCATGCGCAGGGACACCTCCCACTAGACCAGGTTGCTCAAATAGCCATCCAACCTGGCCTTGAACACCTCCAGTGATGGGGCATCCGCGACCTCCCTGGGCAACCTGTTCTTATGTATCTATACTGCGTACCCTCTGTTTTTAGAGTCCTGTGCTACTTTTTCCCATACAGTAATATGTGCTTTGCAGTACAAGTGTGCCTTTTGTCTAATCTGGAGCATTATGTGTACCATCTCAGTTTAATAAGAGCTGAACCACAAATCTCCTGCTCTGCCCTACCTGCTTCTGCTTCATCTTCTCACGAGGTCAGATAACTGATCCAGAATAACAGGACCCAGGCTTGCAGCATTTCGTCCAACGTTGCATTTGTGGCTTACAAAGATACAACACTATTGCTTTATGAGTGTAAGCTTGTATGAGAGTAAGCTTAGTCTTCAGTGTGTTTCTTTCAGCGTATTATTCAGAGAACTTTACATCTAGCCTCCATGGAACTCATTCTGGAAAAGCACAGTATTGTGAGTCTCACTAAGGTGAAAATTGTTCCAAGGGGAAAGTAGAATAGCATATTGAAATTAAAGGAGGAAGTACTGATGTGCTAGCAAACATTTCAAAACCCTTCCTTGTAGAGCATTTTAATAACATGGTAATGTTTATGTAAAGTGAGCTTATAGTGTCACACTTGAATCTAATAAAGTGGACATCCATCATGCTGTAATAAAGAGAAGAGCTTCTAATTAAAGTAGGGCATCATTTGCAGGATTAAAGTCATTTAGCGTAATTGAAAAGTGTTAATACTCTATTTTATCCTCTTCCATTGGTATCACTTCAAGGGTAAAAACATTTTAAGGTGAAAATGCATCTTGCGTCTTTAATTGAATGTTATTACCTACTGATTGTACCATGTTGAAGCTGTTTAATTACAAACCTGGAAAATTAATTACCATATTGAGAACCAGATCCCTGAGGGTTAGAATGGTCTTTTTTGGCAAATAAATGCAACGTAAAAATTGATACCTACACGGTTTATAATCAAACCTGGAAACATAGCTCAATGTGATCCACTACACCCTCATGTTAATCTTAATTGGGCATCAGTGAAGTAAAACAGGTTAGTGTTACTGTCTCTGTATACAGCTTGCCAGATTTTGCAATGAGATGCCATAGAATAAGTGAATTTCCACATACTGTATATCATCATACAAATCTGAAAGATGGTATTTTGATTAAATTAGGCATGGTCCACTGAACATAAGTGACTTTTCACCTTTGCATGCCCAGCTATAAGTTGTTTCTTGGCTTTACAATGCTTGCTTCTGGTATCCCTCAAGGAACTGTTAGCAGCACTGCTGTTAGTGTTCAGATTAATGTTATGTAGTCATGTTAGCCCACTCCAGTGATTGTAGGGCATTTTTCATTGTGAATCCATTTCTTGATCCAGTGTTTCTGAGCACAACCAGCTGGAAGGGAGGGGAGCTGTTTCCTCCTGAGTCATTTTTTGTGCCAACTTGTGCATAAACAGCTGGTCCTTTGTTCTCAGTAGCCTTTTCCCCAGAGCCTAACAGCTGCCCACCAATGAAATGCACCAGGGCAAGGCACGTGTAACCTTTAGACTATCAAAATTAAATTCTTCCTTGAGATAAATTTAGTGGTATTACATCAGGATGACTCTGATCCCTCTATTTGGAACACAGCATGCCACCATTGTGCTTAGATGAGAACCTAACAGCTAGTTAAAACCACTGAAGTTGTAAAAACATTTAAAAAGGGGTTGTACTGTAGTTTAGGACAAGTTATAATTCATAGTTATCTGGTCTTTGAAGGAAGGAGTCATGAGACTGATGAGCTCCTCCTGAAGTGTGGAATATTCCCTGGGATGTAGTACATCTGAAGAACAGATAAGACCATGCTGAAGATAACAAGAAGGGTAGCCTTCTCTTTCTAATGCACTGATGAAGAGATCTTTTTCCTCTTAAGAATTAGGAGCTTGATCTTTTCACTGTCTTTCACAATGTGTTTCTTTTTATACTTTGCATAATGAGTGATAAACAGAGTCAAGCTCAGCCATATCAAAATGCTCTGCTTTCTCATAGTATTTAGTGGAGTTTTTGTAATACCTTCATTCAGTAAGTATCTTTGACAAGCAGAGGTTATTCTGAAAGTTTCAAGGCAATTCAGAAAACAGGGCAATTTTTTAAGACCCACTTAGCCCTGTAGCCTACAATTGTTTCAGAATTTTCACACTTTTTTTCTTATTGGACCTGAAGTGTTTACTGGGTGCATATTGATTTTTGAGGAAAATTTGCTGTGAAAAATTTCTTGAACATTGGCATTGAAAGGGGACAAGGGAAAAGACTCACCCTAGGGTGACAAGCAGCCTAGTAGGTTAATACAATTATAATACTTGGAGTGTGGGATTTTACTTAAAGCATATCTCTGTCCTTTAATTGCCAAAACCAGAGAGATAAAGGTGTGAGTTTCACTTCAAAACAGAATTTTTTAAAATCCAAGTTCACTGCTTGTCAATTCCAAATCATTTTTTTTGTGAACCATTAAGGCCTACTGCAGAAGAAGAAGGCGTACATAAAATTCATTTAATACCCTACTTTATACTTTTAGATTTTCTTTTTAGCCCCTATAGACAAGCTTAAAAGTTAGAAGGGAGTCATCGTTAGAAAGCACTACCGAGCTATACAGAGCTGCAGTAATGACTGAAAGCTTATCACAGCATGGTAACAGCGTGTTGGGATATTCCCGATACAAATAATTGTATTTTTCAAAGAGGCTTGTTGAGTTGACATAAAAGCCAGACTTGAATTACTGTTGTTTAATTATTGTTTAATCTGTTCCCCTTTCTGTCTCATTGGGCAATGCTACTGACCTTTCTGTTCACATTGCTTTCCTTTTCTTGTTCTTTTTTATTCACATCAAGAGCTGTGCCAGACAGTATAACTTTTTCCTTGAAAACACTGCCCTCATGACTGAAAGCTTTTCTGTCCTTTCTTGTGTTATTGATTCATTCAGTCCTTCATCATATGCAATGACTGCTACATCCATTCCAGTTATTCTTATTGACATCTCTCTTTTCTCCAATCCAGCCCAAAGGCAAAAGCTAATCTCCCTGTTTTGTTCTAACCGATGTCTTATCCTACGTGAACTTATTTTTTCTCCCTGATGATTTCCACAACAGATTTATACCCTTTTTCTTCACCCTCAAGGCTCCATGTTCTTTTCTCCTTTAGTATATCTCAGTTTTAATTGCCTTTTACTTCTCCTTTAAGATCTCATGCTCTGCCAGCTTCTCCTACTTTATGACGTGTTTGTATCTTCCTCACAGCTTTCCTTCTGTGCCATGCTCTTACTTTCTCCTTTGCCCAGAACATATTTGCAGCCAAACAATACTACTGTGTTCCCTCAAGTCCTCAGGATTCAATTCCTTCTGCTAGTTTTCTCATGTTTACTGTAGTATTGTGTTCTCCTGGTTTGACAGCCAACAAAGTATATTATTTCAATTACATTCAGAATGAAGATGAATGTGTCACAAATACAAATCACTCAAGTGTGATCGTTGGAAAATTTCTCCTTGCCTGGACCCCCAGCCAGAATACACCACTGTGTGCTGTCAAATGGCTGCTTCTAATTTAAACTGCAACTTGCCCACGGCAGGGAAAGCTAGCTCTATGTGTTCATAAGGTCATAACCACACTTACTTTTTCTTCTAGTTTATATATAGTACTTTTAGGGAAAAATCATTGTCTCTCTCACGGAGGGAAAAGTGGTGCTTTTGGGTTTTGAATTGATGTGAGATGAATTGTCTTTGCAGAATCTACTCTTCCCAAACCAGCCTCTTCAACCCAACAGCAGGTATTCAGTGTCACCAACTGGGGACCTCACTATTACCAACATTCAGCGGTCTGATGCAGGCTACTACATTTGTCAAGCACTGACGGTTGCTGGAAGCATTTTAGCAAAAGCTCAGCTGGAGGTTACTGATGGTGAGCTATGGAAATTCTTATTGTTTTTTCCTGTCAAAAGTATTTTAAATGTAATGTAAATAAAGGCATATGAGATCACATAATTCATACAAGAAAAACAGACAAGCTTCTACAGAAAATACAATGAAAAAAGGGTCTCTGCAATTCTTTATGGTATCAAAAAGACATCAAAATCTAGTTTGCCTTTTGCTTGCTTTCTGGAGGTTCCCCAGTAGTACAAACAAGGTACAAACCAGCTTAGAATAGGGCTGGTGAGAAAGCAAGTCTTAGCTTGGTAGAACTAAGATAGGACTGCAAAAAATACTGTGAAGAATGAATAGGTTTGTGATTAAAGGAGTGAACTGGGATGCAGAAAAATCAGGCTCAATTCCTTTGTCAGTCTGTCTTCAGATTATTTTAGGCAGCTAGTTTGGGGATTTGTCCTTAGCTCAATTAAATCAACACAGCTGCCTTGAACTTACTGGAGTACTGTTGGTTTAGAACAGCTACAGCACATAGCCCTTTAGTCCCTGTGGCAATAAGGTACCAAGATATTTCCTTACCTCAGAGCTGTGTTCTAAGAGTTTCGCAGTATGGCTAGATGTGAGAAGCGACATGTAAATACATAGGTAGGTTTTTCAGGAAAGGAAAAGAAAAGCACTACATGATCTGTCTTAATGTTTTCCATTTCAAAATTTTGGGTTAGAAAGTTATCCTGCTTTGAAGTTAGTTTACCTCAGTCCATCTACAAATGTGAATCCTTTTCATGTGTCAGAAATCCTGTTGATACCCCTTTTCATTCCATTGTGGATAGAAGGTGGTTTGCATCCTTTAACGTTAGTGAAGAAAACAGGATTCCTCTTAAACTAGGAGATTGTTGCATTCCCTGACATCATTATTCCTTATCTTAACTGACTCATTAAATATCTCCTGACAGACTTTGATGAATTTTTGCCATTAAAACTGTTGTTATATGCAGAGGTCTACTTTCACCGTTCCCTTAGAGACCTGCCTGCACCATGAAGTTTGAAAAGATGTCTAATTCTGAATAATCTGGCTTTTCACTAGAACATATTCATCACAAGTGACAGGTAGAGAGGTTCAGGCTCATGTTATAGAGGTTTGAGCATTAATTTGATGCCTTTTCTTTGTTTTCCAAAAGCTGTCTATATTTTTATGACAAGGGGAGATAATTTCTGCCTTATCCCTGCATCTTTACAAGCACATTGCTTCTCTGTAAAGTAGTTTCTGGCGACTAAAGGCTAACCTTCGCTCTGCACTCTCTTTAAGTCCTTTCTCTCATGGTCTCTGACAAAATGATGCATTTTCATTCAATTCAAATTTAAATGTAGATTAAAAGGTCATTTAAAATTAATGGAAAGGCAGTATTTTTTAATATCTGTCCATAGCACTGCCTGATTCAGTGCCATGACTGTGATTGGAATAAATAGAACACACAAACATTGGCTAAGAGGACATTGAGCCGTTAATGGTTGCACCTGCTGATGCTGTACAGATTTACTGCAATAGAGGCCGAGAGGATCAAATCAGGTTCAAGGATATTAGTGATGAGAAATTCTTCCTTTTGACAGACAAGGTCTGTGGTCCATCTTTATCTATTTCTTATGGGGGAGAAAAAATAATAAATCCTAATGACCTCTTTGGAATTTTCATTAGTTTATTTAACAAGTCAACAGAAAGCTCACAAAGGTGTCCCTGCTAAAAATGCAAACTCGACCACAATTAATTCTGATTAAAGGCAGTGTGCATTCCACATTGCTAGAGAAAGCATTAGCTGGTGGCTCTGCTGCTCAAGGAATGCAAGGCCTGCGTTCTTCAAACATTTTCCAGAACCCACTGTCGGCATGATCATTATGAAATAATACAAGGTTGCTTTATAGAAATACCATTTCATCCTTGAGTCAAAGGGCAGGTGAGGTCAGGACAAAAGTGCCAGAACAATATTGTGGAACTGGTATTATATAAATAAATGTACCATTAGATCACAGATATTTTTTTAATTGCTTTCAGTTAGGAAGTTAACCATAAATGTCTAAATAATTTGTTTTAGTTGATGCTGAGGAGAAGTTATATAAGCTAATGATTTTTATCAGTAGGGAAATCTAATTTAATGGTTTTAAAAATATAATAAAATATAAACACTGTTCTTGCTAGCTATATACTTAAGCATTAGTGTTCTAGTTTTTGGCTGGTGATTTCAGTTTTACTTCATAGCCCAGAATTTTTCTGTTTGGTTAATGATTTAATAATAGTGGCGAGCCATCTTTTTCATTTTGAACACATTTTTGTTTGATCCAGAGTAATTTAGATCCAATTGAAGTTCCAATACAGAATGAAAACATATGTCATGTGCAGAAAAACAAGTGCTTAATTACACCATATATAGCAGTGTTTCAGTTGTTACATTTTTGCACTTACAAGTCTTTACTGGAAATATTTTTAACTCAAGTGTTCACATGAGAAGAGATTACTAACTGTGATGAAATGTAGGGAGTTGAGTGATAATTTTGCTGATTATGGACTGTGCTAAGAGCCTTCAGTGTATTTGAAATTCAAATCTTGTATTTTCTTGAAAGGCTATCATATAATCTGCTGTCTAACGCACATCTGGAAAAGCAAAATCATTTTAAAAATTGAGACAATCTTAGCAATCCTTTCAAACCGTAGAAGTGAATATGCAGTTCACAGTCTTAAAATGACAGATCATGCAAATAAACCAAATGCTTACATCTAACTATGTCTGTGCTCAAGATAAAAAGAATAGTTTACAATTAGTAATTTATTCCATGAATTTATCCATCATACACATAGTATTTTGAAGAAGATATCAGTTTCTCCAAATCTAGTCACTACTTATATTTATTAATAAAAATTTCAGCCACTGCATGCTGAACTGTAGGATCAGCCTACAGCCCAGCAGTTGCAGTTTAGGATGAGTATTGGAATGGAGGAGCCAGCTTAACCTCGCCCAGCGGATGGCAATATAAGAATGAAATGTTTTAGAATATTCAACTGATTTTTAAAAAATCATATTTATGGGCTTTTGAATGAAAACAAAAGGCTGGACCTATAAGGAAAATTCAGAACAGGAGTAAAAAAAAAAAAAAAACGCCAAGCAAAAACAACCAGGAGAGAAGGAGTTGGCAGCACATCTCAACAGCTTCCTCTCCACTGATTTGGAATAGACACTTAAGGCTTTTTTCCCAAACTCCTCTGCTATTTTTTGACTATGAGGCTATTAAATATTCTGGAATATGTCTCTCTGAAACCCTCTTGGAAGAATTTAATATCACTCACAGTTTACTCATCTGCAAATCTGGCCACCATGATTCCTGTCATATATAAATAAATAAATATCAATATAAAACATATTTCATGTTTTATAGCAAGGATGACAGTTTCAAATAGGAGAAAATCAGAACAACTTCACAGCCTTCTGTGAAGCTCTTCCTCAAAAAAAGAAAGAGAAAGGGTTGGTCTCTGCTTTTCCACCTCTCAGGAGAGCACCATGCCCTATCGTGATAGTGTTTGTCATGAGAATTTCGTGACTTGTGTTTTATTTCCCCCTTATTCACCAGGAAAGCTTTTGAAATGTTGATTTTGGAAGTGCCAAAGTAAAGACTTCATTTTGTCATTCTCTTATTTTAATTTCCTGTTGTAATTTGACCGAATTCCACTCAAATTTAAACAGTTTCAGTTGATCCTAGTTGCATTTGTAGTGAATAAACTGTTCATTAATAAATATAATTTGTTCTTTTCTGATCGTCTGCTCAAAATTGAAGCTGCATTTTATCAGAAAAGGAACCTGATAATTTTCCAGTTACCAGAATTTGTGAATATGTGGTTTCTGACAAATAAATACCCCCATTTTTTAAAAATTAAATTAACTTTGAAATCAACTTTTTTTTTCACTGTGCAAAATGTGGTTTAGCCACTCAAAATGTTTCTGTGCAAGAGATATTAAAGTTTTCTGCAACGTAAGCAACATAAAATTTAAATAAAATTTAAAATATTGTAAAAGAAACTAGCAAAATCCCCCTTCTGTGCATATTTTTCATTATCTCTTTTTTCCTCAGAATTCTCATTATATATCTTTTTAAACTTATAACTGAGTTTTGAATCCTTGTAATGGAGACCTGTGTAGTAGGAATACAGACACGTATACACGTTTTAGAGAAGATTTACAAGTCATACTTGTGAAGACAATACAGTCGTTCACAGATCAGTGGAAACCCTAAGTGTTCATTTAACCTTTAGCCTTAGTGTCATGGAAACCTGTAGTGGTCTTTCACCCATAACACCCTTGAAAATGAAGATTCCTTCTGGCCAGGAGACTTTCAATTACACTATTGATCAGAGCTATTTAAAGGATTATGAGCTCCTCATTTGGGCTGTAAAAAAACTAATTATGTGCCAAAGAACAATATCTGTAATTGTAGGTTTTGAAAATACCTACATTGCTACACATATGAAAGGCAATTAGATGCAGCAAATAACTGCAATGGAATAGTTAGCACCTTAAGTATTTCTTCTTCCTTTATTTTTAGGAATATCTAGAAAACTAGGATTTGCTATTTTACGTTAAATCTAAATGAAAACTTACACAGCCGAGTTTTTATTTGAATATACTTGTGCTGCTGATAGTACATATGAGCTGAGATCAATTTTTATTCCACCAAATGGCTGAACTATGTGGTCATAAGGAACCTCAACGAGATAAAAAAAAAAAAAAATCATATCAAGGTGAAAATGCATTACATTTTCTCTTTTCTTGTAATACAGTGTTTCCTGTCCTATCTCTGCGTTCAGTGGGTCATATTTCAGAATTTCCAAAATAGCTTTCACATTCTGGTGTTAATAAATAGTCTAATTTTGCTTTCTATTTTCACTTTCAATTTCAATAAATGTGACGAACTCATACTCCAAGGTGCTGCTAACACTGTTGGTTCTATCCTTTGTGTATATTGTTAACAAAAGAAGGTAGTTAGTTTTTTTGCAACATTACAATTTCAGAAACAATTATTTTAAGTATAAAATGTACCAGTACCATCTCATTAATATTTTTTGTTTATTAAATAACATAATGAAAGTGCTTTGGATCTGTTGAAGGTTCCAGAGGTTTGCATCTCAAACAGCTCAAATACAACAGAAACCATATTGCTTCACAAGAAGTTATTTTCACTTCATTGTTAGAATCAGGTGTTGTGTATGAACTATAATGAACCAGATTCTCAGCTAGAATAAATGATTCAAACTCAATTGACATCAGTGGAAGCAGGCTAACTTATATCGGTTTAGGAATTAATCCTGCCTGTTACAATATTTAGTACCAATCTTATAATTCTTCAGTTGTTCAAAGATTTAAAGCAGCAGCAATGTGGCAGGTAAATATATAAAAGTGAATTTTCAGTTCTGTTATACTGATTTTATGCAGGAGTCATAGCATTGTTTATATTCAAGTAGTTCACATTCATTTGGTATAAACACATTCTTTAGAAACAAAGAGATATATTTTGCTGCTTAACAGATAGCTCAGAAAATAGGTTCAACAGCAAAATTATTTCTGAAAAACTGGTCTTTCAAGAAGAGTGAACACGAGCGTTTTACCTCAAGTTCAAGATATCCCACTGATCACAGAATGAGGTTTATACACAGCCATGTATTCGCTCACTGGTTATGGAGTCCTTTAAGCAGTATTTCAAGCATGCAAATGTAAATTATTAGGGGCAAAAAGGTGATGAAATTACTTGATAAGTAAGCTATTAAATGGCTTGATGGAGTTTGAATTTTTCTCCACTTGGAAGAGTGGTGCAGTCATTTAGATCACTGAGATTGTGAAAATGTTTTGTATTATTGTTAGATATTTTTGCTGATGAAAACTTGCAAGTTAAGCATGAATGGGGGATGTGGTTGGTACTCATGCTAGAATGGCTGCAGTGTTTCACTTTGAACTTTAACAGATTTTCTCTGTTAGGCCCTAAATCAGGTAAGCAATTAAGCACATTTTGATGTAACATTAAACATGTGCTTTAAGTGCTTTCCTAAATTGGAAGAAATAAGAAACGTTCTTTTCTGGATCAAGGTCTTAATTTTCATCCTGTCTTAATCAAATGAATCTGATGATCTTTGTTAATCAAAGTTTATATATCTAGGTGTTATCTCACAGTGAGGAAATAAAATTCTTACAAAACTACTTTTCAAATATACCATTTAATTGTTAACCTGTATCTGGGGGTCTTCCAAAAATACTGGTTTTGGCCTTTTAGAGGCTAACTTAAACCAGTCTGTTAAAATTGGTACTGTGTCATGGAAAGGGCTAACTGCAGCAGAGGATCGTTAAAGGTGTGGATGCCAACACGTGTGTCTCTGTTTAGTCTTGACAGATAGGCCTCCACCCATCATCCTCCAGGGGCCAGTCAACCAGACACTGGCAGTGGATGGGACAGCTTTGCTGAAGTGCAAGGCAACTGGTGACCCCCTTCCTGTCATCAGCTGGTTAAAAGAAGGATTCACCTTCCTGGGCAGAGACCCTCGAACATCCATACAGGATCAGGGGACACTTCAGATTAAAACTCTGCGGGTAAGTAGTGCTAACAAAACAAGTGGTACATGGCTAGCGTTGAGCTGTTGGTGTGTGTCTCAAGCAGCTCTTCTGTCTTGCTGTCTGTAGTCTTCAAAATTAATTTAATTGTCTCTTTTACTATGAAATTCTCACCAAGTCTGTATCCTATTTCATTCTATGATGTTGTGTGGGGAAGGGGGGGAAAGGAGAAAAGCCAAACTAGCATCAAATATTTCTATTAGAATTACCTAAACATAGAATTGATATTCAAATTTTTACTTATGTTGCAATAAAAAAAATGAGCTGGGGAGAAATAGACACACAAAAGGACAGGCCTTCCTTATCTTTTCAGTTGCTTTTACCATGAAGCCACTGCCCAGTTGTCTCTGTTAAAAATTAGAGCAGTTCATTTTCAACACCTGATCATCATTTTCCAAGGAGCTATTGTGCTGGCAAGTGATTTTGGAGTTCATCAGGGTTTGGCTGTGCACTTTCTCTGTCAATGAATCTTGGCAGTCTTGAGCTGGCTGATTTATTCCAATGTTACGCTTGCTGGAAATGTTTCATAAGACTGTGAATGGGAGAAGATATCTAATATTGTAACATATAGGCAGACGGATTTCTATTCACAATGAAATGCCTATCATAATATTTACATTTTGACACATGAGATAACAGGATATCTTAAAAATACAAAGAAATTTTATAATATTCCAAATAGTATAATGTCAAATTTTGTTGATAAACATTGCATTACTAATCTTTGTTTGGGATTTTAATTTTTTCCTTTCAAAGATAAAAATGCATAGTTGTTTGTGTGTATGAGGACAAGCATTTATATGGAAAAATAGTAAGGTAAATGTAATTATTTGTCAAGAACTTAAAGACAATTTCAGAAACCATTTAATTTCATCAGCAGTAATTTCTGCACTTAGCTTTGCCATCCAAAAAAATGTCAATAAACATAGCTACTGAGGACAATTACATAAAGTGCAGTTTTGTTTTCTGATACCATCTCATCAGTGATCATAGATGAATTGTTAACTTCCTTGGAACAAAATAGAATTTATTAAAAAATTTATGCTAGCCTTCCTTGAGTAAACAATTTATCCTTCCTCCCTGGGCTGAAGGCAGGTTTAGGCCATGAAGGTTAATGCATTTTTCCTGTAGAGCTGGATTAAAGAGTGCGCTTGAATAGTCAAGATTCCCCAGTAGTGTTAGAAAGCAGCAATTAAAGGTGGAAGCTTAGTGATTTCAAACAAACTTTCAGGCATCAATGATGGGCTTCTGTGGAGTGTCCATGAGGCAGAAGCTCCTGGGATACCTGTCTGCATGCAGCTATGCAAACAATGAAATTGGTTCTGAATCGTGCCGGCGCATTAATCTCGCTGTTAGAGGCAAAAGGTCTGTAAACGAAAGGAAAAAAAATTGCTTGCAAGAGGAGAAGAAAACAGTATTAGTACTGAGTGTGGTTTGGAAAGACATGAAGCTTTTATTGATCCTTAAGTGGCTCATTCACTAGTAGCCAATTTTCCTTAAAGGCTCAGAAAGACATTTTTTATAAACCCCTCGATTGCAGTAATGTGCACCATTTGACTCAGCCTTAAGAACAAAAAACACACACAACCATAACAACCAGATTTCTTTTGTTCCTTGCAATTTTCCTAAGCAAGGACTAGCAATGTTTCTGAAACAAAAAATGACCACGAGATACGTCCAAGTACAGTTACATACTCAAGTTCAAAACAAATTCAGATTTATCACCCACATGTCCTCAGCCGTCTCCTCCACTCAAAAATAATAATCACTATTGTAATCATAAAAGATTTCAGGATATGGGTAAAGGTGAGCCACTACTATTTAAACCTTTGAGACCATCCTCTTCTCTTTGTGTGTGTAAATCCAATTATTCAGGAGTCTGCAGCAGTTATGATGAACCGTGGGCCACAGTCATACACATGAACCTAGTGATTTTTCTGATGAGCCAACCTTCCCATTTGCTCTGAGGAAGACAACTAAAAACTTATATATGTCACTCACTCAGTACCCTTTCAGACAGGTCCACACTGATGGAAAACTCCCTTCTGCTCTGTAAAAGTGTACAACGCCAGAATTAGACACCTGCAGTAACTAAGGAAGAAAACTGTTTATTTTACTGAAGAGCAAAGATTTTCCATTCACCTCCCCTGTTGTTTTTCTATAGCACAAGAAAAGTATAAATAATTGAATTATCAATACACTATGTCTGTATCTAATCCATCCAGAGTCTGGAAGTCAGATAATTCACCATGACTTGCAAAAGGCAGCATATCTCCAGCTTGCTTTATATGTTGAGTTTGCCTTCTGCAAGTTACTCTGTTGTACATACCACATACTTCATTGAGTATGCCATACACCATCTGTCACGGTAGTACACAAATGAAGTTGAGAACCATAGCCTTGAGAAATATTCTCCATTATCACATAATGAAGAATTGTATATTTAATAAAAGCTCAGAAGAAGCAAAATAAAACACTACTTCAGAATACAATAAGGCGCTCTCCTCTGAAAAATCTGTCTCCTTTCAAGAGTCTTTCTCATTTCCTTAGCAGTTCCTCTATATTTTGAGTCTCTGAGGCATTGTCAGGGTGGTTTAATTATTACTTGTATTTCACAGAGAAAGCACCTCCTAAAATGCAAGTCATGGTCATTCAGGCTCTTGAACTTACATTAACCAGTTGCTTCCTGCCCCTAAGAATGGTATACTGCAGTCCCAGTGTATCTAAGAAAACACCAACAAAATTCAAACATGACCAAGTTAAAAATCAATTAAATTATATATCAACAAGTAATCTAAAGAGCATCTCTCTTATTTGTCTTGACACTCTTCTTGAAGAGTGGGGTATAAGCACTTTTGCTATTGTGCCAATCTGCTTTTAGCAGAACGCTCATTACAATTCCTTAAAGTCCAATAAAGCTTCTTGGATGCAGTCCTATTTCCGTCAAGTCGTCTGATGGTGAATATAATTCTTCTCTTTTATCACTAGAGTCAGCACTCTTCCTCTTCTGCTTCCATCTCCAGATTACCATGCTTTATACATAGTGGTAGGAGAGCACCTCTATATATTTTATGCTTTGTAAAGTTACCATTTTCCACCCATCTCTTTAGTCTTCACTGGTTCCCGTCTCAGAAATCTTTAAATTTAAGTAAGGAATAGCAAAGTACTTGGCAAATTTTCTAGTAGAACAATTTAGACAGCAATGAGATTAATATTTACAATGTAATTCAAAATGGTTTCCCAAAATAAATTTTAAATATATGAACTGACAAGGGAATCACAACAGTTTTAAACAAATGCTTTTTTTTTTGCTACCAAAGTGCCTGAAATTGCAAACCTGAAATAAAATCCCCTGTGAAACAGAAGAAAGGAAGCCTGGTGTAGGATCTGATTTAACTTTGCCATTTGAAAATGGCTTGGAGGACTGTCTGTGTAGAGAGAACCACTATTAAGTCTCAGCAACAGTATTTGTATGTGTGGTGGCCCTTTATAAAATGACTTCATTTGACATAAGAGTCTAAGATGATGTAACAGATTTCCTGGCACTGGAAACTCTATATCTGGGTCATCATGGGATAATGAATGGTGAGATGTTTATCCTCTAAGAAGTTAATTGTTATACTGTTACCTGATTTCACCTGCATTTGTTGTAAACAATACAAAGATTGACTGTCTAAAACATCCCTTCTGTAGCATTTACATGCTGTACTGGTACCATTAACAATATAAAAATTACAATTAGAAAAATATTATTATAGTTGTCTAAAAGTAAGCCACCATTAAATGATTGTTTGAAAATGTCTGATGCCTTCTAGTCTGGTGTAAGATGCAGGCTAAGTCCTTCTTACCAAGAAACACTGAGAAAAGAAAATTAGAGTAAACTCTGTCAGCTGATTCTAAAACTGCCCTTAACTGTTTTTTACGTCTAGTTGTCTGATACTGGGACTTACACTTGCGTTGCTACAAGTTCCAGTGGGGAGACATCTTGGAGTGCTGTGCTGGAGGTGACAGGTAAGCAATGTCCAGGGGCTGGTTTTCAGTTGGCACAAAATGAAAGTGTAGACTGTATTAGAGCAATCTGAGTCAAGTAATCCATTCTAGAAATTCTGGGATTGAGATGGAGGAGTTGTAGGTGGGAAGGCTGGGTTCCTTCACACGTCTTGCATTTCATTGCTATTATCTTAAAAGGCCCATTGACATTGCAACAATTTGTATTTGTCACCAGTGACAACAACATACTGTAACTATTCTAAACAGGGGTATTAATAAACTGTGAATTCAAGGAGTCATTGGCTTGAGCAAGAAAAGGATTATGCCTACACAGAGACCCTGTCAAAATCCAATGTACTCTCTGTGAGTACTGGAGTTGGTTTGGATAAAGGAACTTTCTCAGCCTTCTAATAACTAAGGTTTTGGTATGTTATGTAAATTTCAGCAAAGCTGGTCTTTTTTGTTATTCTTTCTTTTCTTTTTTAATATATTTATATATAACCTTTTGAGTGTTGTGGTTTTTTTCTTTCAGTATGTACCTAAAAAACTAGCTCTTCATCCAAAGATATATGTGATAATGCAATTGTTGACAGCTCTTTACAGATTAAGAACATTGGTTATGCTGATTTTGCAGATGTTTGGCATATTTTTCCTTTCAATCTTCTACTTTGATCAAATTTATGCAATCAAGGGTAAAAAATAATTGTTTCGTATTTGTCCCTCACAGAATCTGGTGGAGCAACAGTCAGTAAAAATTATGATATAAACGACCTCCCTGGACCACCATCCAAACCTCAGGTCACTGATGTTACTAAGAACAGTGTCACCCTGTCCTGGCAACCAGGGACCCCTGGAAGCCTACCAGCTAGTGCATATATCATTGAGGCTTTTAGGTATGTGAATTATTCCACTTTTAATCTCCTTCCTTTCTAATTTTGCTTGAGCCCTGGTACCAGCTGTTCTCTTGGTATTGTGGTGTTCTTTCGGGCTCTACACATATCATTAGAAGTTCATTAAAAGGTTCAACTCCTATGGCAGGCATTGATTCTTTTTTTTTTTTTTTTTTTTTATTTGTCACTTTTTTCTAAGTGATTCATTAAAGGAGCATCTAACTATTTCTTCAGGCCAACAGGAATATAACAGGACAATGCAGTCATTGTTTGTTACTTTTTCCTTAGCATTGGTGATCAATGAGAGTCTCCTGTGGGAATGCTGCAGGTCAAATAATTTGGGCCAGTGTTATCTTGACACTCATAGTACAAATAATCTGAAAATAAGTGGGTAATCCTGAAGCCTCTCTGCATATTTTAATTCCTGTTCTTGTTAAAGCAGCTCCTATTAAAGAGTCAAAGCACTTTACATTTCTATCTTTTACTGTTTTAGACAAATTAAAATTTTTAACTGAAAAGGCCAGTGTTGATAATTTAGGATTTTGTCCTGCAGCCTGAGGCAGAACAGAATCCAGCTGCTCCCTTCAACACAGCAGCAATTAATAAATATATGGTACATGAGAACTCCTGGGCTCCAATTCAGCAAGTTTGTTTAAGCATGGGCTATGTCTCACGTGTATCAGTAGTACATGCTCTGGCTTAAAAATGTGCATATTCTTAAATGTTTTCCTTAATCAAGATGTCAAAAAAATGACAAATAATTTATTTCATATTTTAATTAAAGTTCATGCAAGAATTTGTCAAAATAGTATGCATGCAAATCTAAGACCGTATAGTGATAATGCTTCATCTTGCTATGTTAATATGCAAAGAACATTACTGTATGTGCAAGTTGCTGATTTTGTTCTGGAACTTACCCTTTATGCATTACAGGTATAAAACAACTGAAACAACATGAAACATGAAAGCTTTCCATTTTATTTTTCCTTTTAATACATTTAAAGACTTTTTTTTTAATCAGTGTGATACAACAAAGCACAATAAAATAAAATTTTCTTTTTAAACTTTTGTGATATTTCACCCTAGTTAAGCTTTAATGGCATCCCTTCAATAACTTTAACAAGAGCCAAGCATTTTCACTAAAAGCTACTTTAACAATCACACTTGACATCTCTTCATACAGTGGATTGTAATCTAATTATAATGTCCAATGGAAAATGTAGTGACAGAAAAAAATATTCATATGCTTTCCTTCATTTACAAGCATGTTTTCAGAAGGTTTTTTTATAACTTTGAGTATGAATTTAGTTCAAGGAGAATACTTCTCTTCCAATGACAATTTATTGGCGTAATTTACTTAGCAGTATAGAAAATTATTCTTTTAACAGGATTTTCTTTTCTAAGGTTTATGTTCAAGAGTGCCCTATTTATCATTCGAATTTACTTTACAGCTTTCAGTACTTTCCTTTTGCAGGTATTTATTTTAGAGAGATAGCAAAAGCTTTTGCTTCTGTTGAAAGGAGGAACACTTTTGACAGTTGTGTTATTTTTTTTTTTATCCCATCTGGATGAGTTAACTGAAAAAAAATTTTTATTATTATTTTTACCCTGCTTTTACTACTTTTTTTTCCCTGTATTTAGACTTGATATGGGGTTACAAAAGTAGGTCCTTTCACTATATTTTTCTCTTGAGTTAGCCTGTAATCTTCAACCCTCTTCTCATTGCAGTCAGTCTGTGAGCAATAGTTGGCAAACAGTGGCTAACCACGTGAAGACCACTCTCTACACTGTGAGAGGACTGCGCCCCAATACAATCTACCTGTTCATGGTGAGAGCTATCAATTCACAAGGTCTGAGTGATCCCAGCCCCATGTCAGATCCTGTCCGAACACAAGGTAATAATAATTATTAAGGCTTACATGCTTGAGGTAAAATAAAAAGAAGGAACTGAGAACTGACCGATAGGTCAGTTTCGCCATTTGGTTTCAGCACTCTCACTGAAGGTGTCATGAATTGAGCTTAACCAGTAAAGATAAAAAACACTCCAATGTTTGCTGCATCAATTTGGAGTTCAGGAGAGATAGGTTAGCTCTTTAATTCTTTGTACATTGTATACCTTTAGGTTCACAGTTCACTTAGACTTGGTGCACTCCTTGATGTCTGGTTTCTATTGAAAGTAATGTGAGTTACCCAAGCTTTTCTGAATACTGTGCTCTCTTCCCTATTATCTCCATGTCCTTACTTCTTCTCCATTATAATAAAAGGATATAAATATATAAATAAATCTAATAACAAGTCCTTATGACAGACAGACACCGTGCTTAGCATTAGTTTTAATCAAAAGAATTGCACAAGATACCTGAATTGATTAATCTAGTCCAACATGTAGGCACAGAATTCATGTAAATTAAGTCATCTGCATGCTAAGAATATTTTTAAGTTATTCTGAGAAAAGTGTATGTCTTCTATTTATATACCTAGATTTCTGAATTCTTTGTATTAATCCACTGCTTAAACAAAGAGGGGGAAGGCTGAAGTGAAATCCCTCATTTATAGGGTGGTGATGTAATTGATAGCTGTGATCCTCCATTGCTATTGAATTGAATATTGAATTCTGTTCACATTACATCAAGTGCTAACTGCATATAACTGCCACAAGAAAATTTCTCTTCACAGCATGGATTTTTTTGGCTTTGACAACACATTGCTTGAATACTTCATTCAAGAGTGTAGTTCTGTGTTAAACAGGTTGGAATACATGAATTAATAATTTTTTTGAATCATAATTTTTTTTCAAGTCCAAAGTAATAGCTCCTCTCACAGTTAATCTAGAATGAGATCCTCCATCTCTGTTTGTGGAAGTTACAAAAGCGTGTGTGGAGAGTGCATCCTGTGTCAGCCTCCCTCGTGTGTAAGGGGTTTGGTTCCTTTGCTGGTCCTAGATGGAAAGAGAGAAACAAGAGTAGGGTGGTATTTCTTTATCACATAACCATCACATCCAGCCTCTCTCATCCCAGTCTATTCCCGAATAAAGCTGTCCTCAATAATAACATCCTCAAAATAGTAATCATTGCTGTAAAATGAGAAACAAAGCTGCTTTCTGAAAAGCTGAAGAAGTAGGTTGGGCAGGGATTTCATGGCTTTAATATCCACAGAGTATCAAAAGTTTTCTTCTCTTTCTTGCTCTCCCACTATTATAGGGTGACTCATGCTTTTCATTGCACCAGCCTTTTAGTCTGCGTAACTTATCACCTAGTTAAAAAAACAACTTTGTTTGGCATTTGAGTGTCAAGTATAGACTTTTCATCTGACATACTGACAAGCAATTTGATTTCAGTAAAAACATGTCTTTTAATTAGCTACAGCATGTGTTGCAGCTTCCATTTCCAGAAGCTGTTTAGCAGTCAAGCACACTGAGACATGTACAGGATTTATAGCTTCTTTGCAAGCCTGCAGTTTAATAGAATTAAATCATAAAATCAATTGAAAATTAACATAATGTTTTGATGTGATTTCTAATTATGCCTGAATTCAATTCAGGCTCACAGAAGAAGCTGACACACAGTAGAAAGCCTATTCACAGTGGCCATGGAGGAATTAAAAAGCAGCTATAATAGTGCTATATAATATTACCTTGCAACAGGTGTCTGTGGTAGCTTTAGTAGCGAAGCATTTAATTTCCTGATATTAAGTATAGCAAATACAAGTAATAGGATTTTATACATATTTTCACCAGTGGACTACAAGTAGACAATCAGGCACTTTCAAAAGGTTTACTTTATATGAGATACAGAGAAATCAGTATTTTCTAATTCTTAGTAATTACTAATTTTTTAATAATTCCTAAGAAAGGAGTTTCTTGCTTGGATTATTAACATACTAAACCATATATTAAAAAACACTCTAAAGATATTATATATAATCCTGGAATTTAAATTACTAGCAACTAATAGGAAGTTCAGTAGAAGCTGTTAAAAGAGAGGTTAGAGAAAATATATAACCTATTTAATTTTAGACACCTCTAAATTGGGATCAGAATATAGCTTCTTGAGCCAGTTTTGCCTGAGTCATGATTTAATTATTCCAGTACTTAATGATATCCTTATAGAGAGATCAACTACTTTTCAGCCAGAAGTCTCCTAGTAATGTGAAAATGACATTACAAGACTATGATTACACTGTGAGCATCGCATACGCATGTATTTCCAAGTGTACATATCAGAAAACAGAATTCCACATATACACCTTGATACTCATTTCTTATTGTTATTAGCCCACGTTTTTCCCTTGCTTTTGGACTTATGAAATAAAATAATGAAATTATTATTAAAATAATGAAATGCAGTTCATACAAACACACTATGGAGAAATGTCTTTTCTCCTGAGGGAATATAGGCACTTTGTAGGTTGTATACCACAGGATAACTTAACCTAAAATGTAGCCATGGGTAGCTGTAGGTATTTTGTACCAAGGTTCATAGCTTTTTGTGGATAACAGCATAAATTTTCATCACGTAAACCAGTCTGAGTTGCTGTCTTACAGATTTATTTTATTATATCTCTCTGTGTCTTGGTCACTTTGAATAGGCATAATTTGCTAGACAAACTCCTTCACTAACATCTGTATTTGGATTATATTCCCTTTGGAGATTCATGGAACCATTTTCATTTGAATATCAGTAGAAACCTGTGGCAATATTGTTCATTGCTGACTCAGAACCCAAAATTCATAATCCAGAATTATGAAGCTGAAATATTGATGATCAAAACCTACTTTCTTTCAAAATCTGTAATTCAAACTCAGTTATTTTTAAATCTTTCATTTTTAAGAGCACTATTATTTCTTCTTAATAATATTTAGAAGATTAAAAGATATCACATGCTGCATAGTCCTGTATCTAAGACCATCAGAGGGGAAAAAAACCCTTTATGTATGTATTCTTTTCGCAAGGACATGATGTTGATCCAAAAAGAGGGAAAGTGGCTTTGGCTAGTGAATCCCATGGTAAAACCAAGCAGAATTCATAGATGGCTAGACAGGCAAGACCTTAATGTATCAGGTGCTTGTGTTCCAAATCCTCTCTTCTGGAAAAATTACAAGCAAATTCCAGCAGAAATAATCAGTATGTGTATTTCTAACAGGAATTATGCAACCCACAGAGACAACTGACCTAGTAAGGGCATCTGTAACTGTTGACCAAGAATGTCATTATAAGATCCCTGAAGGATCTATTGAATGGACCCAGACTTCACTGGCTGACAGAGGTTGGAGGGAAGGAATATGCTATGGGGATATATTAGCTAGGTGATAGCTGTAGCCCAACATTCTTCTTTGGTGCAATGTAACTGAAAATTATGATTTTTAGAAACTATCACTAAAAAGACACATTGCACATCTCTTCATTTTCTGACACATATTTTGTTTTTTCAGTTCCTGTTTAGCAAAGATAATAGAGCTTCATTCAATTTAATACAATGTTATAACCCAAATGTGATCCCTAAGGTTTAGGTACTAAGACCACATGTGGTGCTGGAGGTGGAGTCACAGTTTTCCATAGATGTATATTAAGTGATCAAATTCCTTCAGATTTTGACCAGAAAAAATGATTTCTCCATGCAGTTTGAAGGAATATTTGACATAATCTTGAAGAGTCATTTTTTGTGGTAGAGTGTAAAAACACTCAGCCAGCAAAAGCTGGCCTTTTCTTGGATCAGAATCAGTTTGGCTTCATAAATTAATTCTTTTTTTCATATTTCACTAGATTTCATTATCTATATCTGTAAAGGGAAAAATTGTTTTGCAGAAGAAAATGCTATTTTTAGTGTTTGGTTTCTTGTGTGCTTAGCATGTGGGGAGGGGAAGCTTAGTGAAAGTTTGGAAACATATAATGACTTAATGTCATGTATGCTCTGAGAAAATTTGAAAAAAAAAACCAACAAACCCGTTCATTTTCTTCAGTTATACTAACCAATTTGGTTACAGACATCTGGGCAGCATTATTATTACCTGAGTATTTTGGAACTCATGAATATTGTGCCTCTCTCATCAAGTTCTTACAGTTCTCAGTTCTTACAAGGCTGAGAAAACATCATCATCAAGACTGATTACTCATTTAAAAATCTTTACATTTTATTATTTCCTAAGCAGCTAAAAGTGAATGGTTTGTTTGCATTACTTGATATGCTTTGGAGTTCATATTTAAACCTTAGTACGTATTGTTTTTATTATTAAAAAGCAGAAAAAAGGGTGTTTAAATCAGGTTGTTAAGCTATTTGCTAATTTGTATTGATGCCATATGTAGCTCTTCTCATTAAAATAATGCTTTTATGTGTGTGCCCGGTCTGGCAGATATCAGCCCACCAGCACAAGGTGTGGATCACAGGCAAGTCCAGAAAGAACTGGGAGATGTCATTGTACGACTGCATAATCCTGTTGTGCTGACACCCACTACGGTTCAAGTCACCTGGACGGTAAGGCTTCTGTTGTTATTACTTTAACAGCACTTTAATTTTTCCCGTTTATCCCTGCAGTTTTTAACTACCCTGAAAAGCTCTAGTCTTGATCACAATGTGAGTGCTCTGATAAACTAGCAGTATACAGGCAAATAATGGTCATTTTATTTTCTCTTTCAAGACAGGCAGGTTCGAAGTCTTCAGTGTTCAGCTCAAAGCAATCAAGCTGTCTGACTAGACAAAGTATTATAAAAATGAATATGCTTGACATGATAATCTAAAGGATAATTGATCTGTAGACTTATTACTGTGCATGTCAAAAAATAATCAAAGTTGAATATCAACATGAAATTGCTGTATGAAAAAGCCCTTTCTACTTGAAGGCATATGGACCTCTGACAATACCCTATTATTTGGTGAGCCTAAAATGCAAAAACAGCTTTCCTATAGGGCACTTGTAGTGAAGTCAGAAGCCTGTGGTGCTGATACCCGATCCACTGTGTAGCATCTGGTTTTCTAGCATAAGCCTTATCCACAATGAGTGGATATTCTTTCATTGTAGAAGACCAGAATCATTTTGGCAGTACTTAACATTTCTATTTGAGGGGTCAAACTACTGGGTAGAATTTCTGATATAGTGTTTGGCTTTCAAAATGCTATGTTTCCCTTCCGGAGACTTGAAGGAAAGGATTTGTAACTGTAGAAGGAGAGAGTTCCCAGGGTGCTGCACAACAGAAAAGAGTGTTTTGCTTTTGGTATATCTGCCCCAGAGAAAGGAGAGCCACAGGTGGAAAAGTAAGAGAAAAGGTACTGCACTGTATGCCACTGAAACAGTTGTATTACATAGGATGAATTCTGCTAAAGAGGTATTCACAATACTCAGGGCTTTTCTTCTACATGTAATATTGCTAAGAGATTAATGTGTACAGGGCATTATATAACAGAAGATAAGTGTGATATAGATTGGGTATTATAAGGATTACTGTTGTTTTTGCACAACTCAGCCATATTTATGGGGGCTTATGCACCATCCTTGTTCTGACAAATTTCAGTGGTCGGGGGGCAGGTTAGAATACATCAAGAAACTCACAAGTTTGTCTTTCTTAAAAGATTATTCAGAAAATGTGTCACTACATTTTGCCATTGATTATGTCAACACACAGCTTTCCTTTCTGAAATTGCTGTCTGTTTCAGCTACATAGCTCCAGGACAGGCTAATCTTTCTAGCAAACCCTTTTGCCCAAGCAGATGGTAGTTTAGGAACTTTGGATGTTAGCAGCCAGTAATTGTAAACCTGGATCACATCCATATAGTGCTCTTCGAGTGCTTTCTTGGGTGTGGAACCTATCAGAAATACAGTTTCATAGGCTTGCCCTTGCTTTAGCATATACTACAAAAGGAAGTCCCAATATAAACAGAATTCAATTTTACACAATGTAACCAATGTCTTTATATATGATGAAATATACATATATGTATTTATGTGCACATATATATATATATATGTATTCACACACAAGAGTCTCTTGGTGCCCCTACTGAACAAGTGAAGAAAACATAGTAAGGTAAAGGTAAATTGTTAGGGATGCTATGGATATCAGCTTATTGGGAAGATCCTCAAAGCAGTGACTCTGTGCCACCTGAGAAGCATACAGGCCTCTGTAGAGACTTTTAGAATTGCCCGAGAGAAGAAAGACACCAAAAAACATTAAAAAAATCTCTGGAACAGCTAATTAAAAACTTTCCAGCAACCAGAAAAAAAAAACCAAATTCATTAAACATAGTCTTTTGGAAAAAAAGCCACTCTATCCAGATAATAAAGTCCACACTATTCATATAAATTGGTTAGATAGTGTAGCTATCATATGAAAGGACAGAAGTTCCATGACAGTAGTATGACTCATTTTGTTGACTTTCTGCAATTCCAAGACTGAATGCCAAGGAACTTCCGTGATTACAGAATTTATGGCATCCTGACTCCCAGAAAATTAACATCAATTTCCCCCTTCTTTCTGAGATGATTGTTTTGGTTTTACCTTCTCATATGTTTTGAATTTGAGTTTAAAATTTCAGAAACAGTTTTCTGCTACTGCATTGCAAATTTAAAATATACACATACATATACACACGTATTTTGTCTGTTTTAAAAGAAGTTCATGCTTACAAAGTCAGTGTTCAAAAGAAGAGAAATGTTAGAAGTTAGATTTTCATTGTCACTTAAATTTACTTCTCTTGTGTGTAAGTATTAAAGTGTAGCTGTAATTATCTGGTCGCATACAGGATCTTTTCTTCATGGAGCTATTCAACATTTCTTTTTATCTTCTTTATTCACCGTGTGGTGCCAGGTCTTATTAAATTCATACCATTGAAACCTTGCATTGAATAAAAAATTATTAGTTTGTCTCACATGCTTGCTTATCTGTCATGCTCTCAACCGTAACATTCGGGTGCTTCACAAGTAATACTGAATTTAACATCACAATGATGAAAATGTGACATTATCCTAACTTTACACATAGAGAGGTGAGGTACAGAGATATTTATTGCTGATGAGACTTACAGAATCAGATGTGCCTTCTGTTATCAGATGGCTAATTTTAAACCTTGGGCCTGATTTATTTTTACTTTTATCAAAACATTTTGTATTGCAACAGCACATGGTGTACTGCAAGCGCTTTTTTAGCTGACCTCAACTATAGTTCAGCACTTCTAGCCTCCCTGCGCAAAAAACTGAGAGTTTCATGTGACCAAATGTGGAAAGTTTCCTAGCATTATAAAGGAGCCCTGTGGCACACGCAGGAACAAAAATCAGTTCTTTAATACAGCAAAAGAATTGTTGCTTTGAAATCCTGACTGCCTTCTAGGAGGCTACCAAGGAGAAGGATAATTTATTTACCTCTGTCTTTTAATTTGACATTGATTTTAAGTGAATGTACTTCATTGGAATCTTCAAGATTCAAGTCTTTTAGACAGTCTTCCAGTGTATCATCACTTGTTCCTGTAGGACAGGTAACTGTTAGTGCTGTTTGAATTTCCAGAGATCACTGTGAGTCTGTACTAGTGAGTTCAGCACAGTGTGCAAGGTGTTCTGCTCATATGGAGAATTGCTGTGGGTATATGTGGGATCAGAGTATTGGATATTTTGGGTTTGAAATTTATATACTAAAGAGCATATCGCAAAATGTTTTCAGGGTGCAGATTAGCAGGTGGGCCTGAAAGGAGCTTATATTGTTAGCATAAGCTGCATTATGAGTTTCTTGCCATCTTTTTAACAACCTAATAGCCTAACTGAATGATCTAATACCCATTGAACCTGTCTAGCGTTCAGCTGCAGTACGTGCAGATTTGAACGTGCAGGGAAACCACGTTTCCTGTTCTGCAAAAATGGAGAGCTATCATCGGGTTGTAGATACCTCCCTCACGACATATTCACCGTAAAGGAGGGTGAGAAGGAGCATATAGAACCAATTATGCTTGTAGGTCCCCTTAAAGCCTTAGGTCAGTGCTGAACAGAACCTACCCAGTAATTGCTCTCTTCTGTCATTTAAGGGAGCATCTGCATTTTCTGCCAGCTCTCTTTTGAGGGAGAAAGTGTATCTTTAGATCAGCAACTGTTGCAGCTCCTTTGAGTGGGTGTCACTGCTGCTTGTACAAATTCAAGAGTAGTTAAGAGTGTCATAGGAAGACTAGAAATATTCTCTGATCCCAGTATTCAGTGCAGAGAGTTCCTGCGATCTCTGTAATAATGCTAAGTACTTTGTGTGAGGAAGTGTCAACCATTTACCAAAAAAAAAAAAAAAAAAAGAGGAAGGAGAATACCTAGAAATTATTACATTCTTTCATCAAATCACGGTGCATGTTTCTGTAACTGCGTATGTGTGAATGTGTAATAACCCTATCGAGTTATTTGGTGCTTAGCACAACTGAATACAGTTCTTTAATGCTAAGCATATTTTTGGTTGCCTGCTGTTGGAGTGATATGTAATTACCACATAACAAACAGAGGAAATGAGGCTTTGTATTACATAAAAGACTCTGTGTGCATATATGGATATATACCCGTATGTATGTATACGTGTATATAGGTGTGTGTGTATACATATGTGAAATATACCTGTCCTATTCCTCATAAATGTATCTGGTTAACCCATGGGATTATCCAACTTCTTACTATTCAGAAAACTCAAAAAAAAAAAAAAAGACCTTTCTCAGTAAGTGAAGTGTCCTCTGAGTGGTTTCACACCATTTTCACCATATGAAAGGCCCTGTTCATTCGGCCTAGCTTTAAGTGGGTAGAGAATGAGCTTTGTATTCTCTCCTCAATATTGAATGCAACTGGATGTTTATAGAAAGCTTTAAAAATGTATACTATTTTCTTTTGTAAGCAACCTCCCAGTTACTTACTGAACAATGGAATCACTGTTGATAATCCAAAATTTGGGCAGATCACTCAGCCCTGTTGTGATCAAACTTCGAATTGAAAGCTCTATGAATCTTGTGTGAGCCCCAAATTAAGCTAGTTTGGAGCACCCATATAATGTACCCTTGTACTACTGTGTTCTGTTTTCATATTTCTTGTATTGTTTAGTCTTTTTGGTTAGGAACTTAAAAGGCTAGAGGGAAAAGAGGTGTATGAATAATTTGTATATTACCTATATGTAAGTAGATACCAAAGTGTGACAGACTCAAAATTTGTACGCTATAGGTATTTCACTGAATTTCACTGAATTTCTAGAGTTGGAAGGGACCATAGAGATCATCTAGTCCAACTCCCCTGCTGAAGCAGGATTGCCTAGAGTATACTAGGTATACTATAGGGGTCCAGTTCTTAGTCAGTTGGTGGGTGCATTTGTGTTTGTACCATGCTGGACAAAACAGTTTCCATACCATTTTGTAACAACAGAATGTTACTGTTCAGCCTAGTCAATTCTGAATTTTCAGATGGTCTCCACTAGGCAGCAGTCAGTAGAGCTTAAAAGCACAGCAATGACAAAATGGAAAGTTCTAACAAAGTTACACCATTTCTAAATGTAGTGTCTAACCCAGAAGTTACGCAGGAATCAAACTCAGTGTTTGATTATTAAACATCATAGCTTTATGTTGTAATTTAGGTTGAGAATATGTATTAGAAAGTGCATGAAAGTGTTATTCTTGCTGAATTTTGTAGTAAACATGAGGTTCATAAAGTCTTTATGTCCGCAAAACATTTAATTAATGAAAGTCAAACATGGATAAAAACAATTTACTCTGATTTACAGACTCCCTTCATCTGGAAACAGCTGCTTAATGTTCTTCTTAAAAACACAGCTTGATTCTTTCGGTATTAACAAGCTATTATTGTGAGTTATATCCCTCTTTCAGTGCATAAATTCACTTAAAGTGAATGTAGAGAAGTTTATAAAATGCAAGCTTAATGTTGTTGTAACATATGTTGCAAGGTTTTTAACAGTGACAGTTTTGATGAAAGACATTTCTACTTTGCTCTCATAAATAAAGCTTTCTTCTTGCTTGCCCTGCTTTTTAATGTCTATGAATCTGTGTCCCCTCTGAATGCCTCAGTAAACTGTAACAAGATTATAGGAGAAGCATAATAGACCCTGGTTTGTGTTTTCAGCCTTAAATTCATTTATTCTTAAGAGAAGTCAAACAAATGTACCTCTAATTCTGAAATATTTTTGAGCTAGAAAATTCTCAAGAACAGAAAAGAAATACTACTTGTTGAATCCTAGTAATAACCCAGAAATGTACCAAACAGCTAGTTGTATAGTTTTGTTATTTGTGCTGCACTTTCTTTGGCTCTTTATTTGATGGCTACAGATGCAGCTGGATTTGGTTTGGTTATATCCATCAAATTGTTTTGACTGTTTTTTTCAGGCAAAATTTATGTAAACATGATAAGAGCTCAAATCATTGGGTTGTGCCTTTTTTTTTTCCCCCAAGTGAAAAAGTGCATGTAACCTCTCCAAGATAAAAAACTTCTTTTTCCCTTTGAATAAAAATCCTATTTACAACTATGATGTTAGAATTGTTAAACTTCTATGTATGGTCCAATCTTGGATTGTGCTTGCCTAGCAACATATAAAATATAAACCAAAACCAACATTCCATCTCCATTTGATGGCCTGGGAGCATCACAGCCCCAGGATGCAAAGAGAATGCTTAAACTGTGAATGCAAGAAACAGCACATGTCCTTGGAAGTTGTTTTCTCTGCATCTGTCTTATGTTTATTTTACTTTCCTGAGCATCTCATGAAAAGATGAACTGTGAGCCAAGTAATGGACTAACTGAAAGCATGTAGGGCATCTTCAAAGACTTGTCCCTCTCTAAAAAGAATTTGTTTTTCTTTTCTTCTCATATTTCAGCACATCAGTAGCCAAGATGTGCTTAATAAGTTTACATGCAGTAAGCATTATGCCAAAGTTCTCTTTTCATGATTTGTTGCAGGTGGGGCCTTGTTTTATGATTTAAGGTGGTATTATCATGATATATACAGCTGGAGAAAATAGAAAGAAATGTTCTTTAACAAGTAATGTGAGAAAAATGTTCTTTATAGTCAATTAATCAACTGACTTACAAGAAGGCAGTTTAACTTTTAAATTCAGCAGCATAAACAACTGCTGTTTTTCTCTTTGTCATAAGGACAAAGGCATTCTAGGCATATGTTTCGTTTTCATTTTATATTGTTTGGTTACTTTAATATATTTATTGACATATCATTTAATGCCATTTCTAGGTTGACCGCCAATCCCAGTTTATTCAAGGTTACCGAGTAATGTATCGCCAAACATCTGGCCTACCTTCTCCAGCTGTATGGCAGAATTTGGAGGTTAAAGTCCCAACTGAGCGCAGTGCTGTTCTCGTCAGCTTGAAGAAGGGGGTCACTTATGAAATTAAAGTTCGCCCTTACTTCAATGAATTCCAAGGAATGGACAGTGAATCAAAGTCTGCTCGTACCACAGAAGAAGGTTAGTAAAAGAGTCAGTAAAGTGACAGACTTCCTTACTTAGCACTGGAGGTGAAATCAAGAGCGACTATTTTGGTTATTGTGTGTATGCCTATGTTCAGCTCTATTTCTTCCACATGATTTCTCTTTGTTAGATATAGGGTTGGTATTGGGATTCAACATAATATTCAGTTTTATGCTGCAAGTATTCCAGAAGAAAACACTGGGCCAGTCCTATGTTATTCTGGCTGATACATCCCTCTATTGTGCAGATGGCTTTGGGTCTTCCAGGAAGTGCAGACAGCAGCCGTTCTTTTGTAACTAGTCTTGCTGCAATAAAAGACTTTGGTCTGCATTTGAAAATGTAATTAATAGATGAAACCTTTTGCAAATGAGTGTTTGAAGTTAAGCATGTCTTTCTGAATGGGTAATAATGTATATGAACAATTTGTTTGGGAAGCGGGGACTAGTGAAGGGCAGACATTTAACTAGTCTGAAGGAATTCCAGTCTCAAGGGCATGCCACTTTGTTGTTTCTGCTAGCACACCACTCAGTAAACTCTCCTATTTCGTTCTTTGGAGAGTTTCTTTAAGTACCTTTCAAGCCTATGTGAAACATGCAGGATGCAGACATAGTAAACAGTTTACACTACTGAAATTTCTATAGCACGTAGCGTGATACATAGTTTTGTTAAAATATATGCACACTAGGACTGCTTTTTTATCGAAAAGTAAAGGGAGTGATGTTGAGATATAAGTAATTTTTATTTTTTTATCTTAGAATTGTACAAGAAACTTACCTTTCTACATATCTAATACAACCTTTGCCCAGAGAATCTTTTCTGTGAGAGTAGAAGGATGATCATAACAATGAGGGTTCATCTTCTCTCTGTTTTATTGATTCCTTTCAAAGGACGGGAAAGAAATACTAGTGAAGTTTCAAAATGCTCTTATGGTTTCCATGGGTTTTGAGTGGACTCTTTTCTTCCTCTTAAAGAGATGCATCTTAATAAATTACGGTATTCTCCTGAGATTTAATTTAGTGCTGATTGCCAAGTACTTTTTAATTCTAGAACAGAGTCGCTTATTACTCACTTTTCTCTTTGATTTGTTATTATTAACCCTCAACCAGTAAGTAATCCTGAAAATAACTTAGTTTCCATCCCTACTTTATAGATGAGGAAATTCAATGTCCTGTAACACGTAGAAGAGCATGTAGGAAGTCATTGTTCAAGTTTGGTTTAGAATTTGGGACTTTATGGTTCCCATTTCTTTGTTCAGACTATAAAGCATAAATCAGCCAGTAAAGAATATCTTTGCAGCAGTATGAACAAAGTTTTAAAAAAAAATGAAAACTGAAAAATCTTTCTATAGGTGAAATTGCTTTTCTAGAGTTAAAATGTAGGATTTCCCCCCCTTACTAGCAGATTTTTTTCCTTGTCTAATTTCAATTGATTTTTGTTGTTTATTTAGTTCATCTAACTGGCTTTTGGTAAAGGTAAACTCAGAACTACTGAAAAAGAGAGAATATTTTGTACCTCCTGTTTATTTCTATAAAATACTTGAGGAATGACATTTTCTTTTATAAACCTCATCTCCCAGCAGAGCCTGTCAGGTGATTTCCTACTTTAAAGGCCACTTTGTTAATGTGAAATAACTTTCCACATAGTGAAGATTTTAAAAACTTTTCTTGCCTAAAGATATGTATAACTCACAGCCTAAAATCTGCTTTGTAGATTAATATAACCTTCAAGGAGTCTGTTTACAAGTGTCTCTCTCAAAAAAAATCAACCTGTAACACGTAGTATTACCACCAGACAAATGTCAGCCCCTGTAAATAATTCTTCCTCTTGCATGGGTGATAAAGTTAAGTACTTCCATGAGAAAATTAAGACATTCAGTAGATGGAGTTCTGCAGGTATTTTCTTTAATTCCTCACATTATCTTTGTAATTATGTTGGTGTTCATATATTTCAAAAATAACATCAACTAAATGTCTAATGACAGTGGTTTGCTTTTCATCCAATGAAGAAAGATGGCAGTCTATTTAAAGGTATCTCACTTGCTGTGTTGTCTGTGATTCCATTTCGAAAATGAGCTTTTTTAGACTTGACTTTTAAAAAATGTCAGGTATACTATTTTTAGAAAATAATTTGGAAGAGTGATACGTGCGTTGGAAGTTTTTTGCGACATCAAAACGAATAGCCCTGGTAAAGGCAAAGTGCGACCAAGAGGTAGTGATAGCTTTCTGCTGGATTGAATTTTATATGCAATGTTACTTCTGAGGCCTACCTCCAAAAATCAATTTTACTGCAGTTAGACTTTTCCTCTAGACCAGACATTTGTCACAATTCAGTACCCATCCATCTCCTGCCTCTTTGGCCTTGTGAAGGTAACAAATGGAATTCTGTTTGGCTGCATCTGGAAAAGATGAGCAGCGATTTGGGTTCTTTCATATCTGTAAGAAGAAGCTGAGCACTGGAATAATTGACCTGTCAAGAAGCAGGCAAGGTGTTCTCCACAAGCCAGCAGCAAGGGAAATGAGAAAACGGTTTTAAAAATGTTATTTTTCAATGTGGTCTATTTAATAACTGCAGCAGTGTCAGACGAGTGGCTTAATTTATATCACGGTGCCAGCTTACAGAGTGATGTTATCAGAGAGAGGAAGCAGAACTGTTATATAAATATACGTGTATACACATATAAAAAGGAGCTAAATAAAATATTTTATTGTATAATTTTCACTATTTTTTTCACACTTTCCCTAAAGATAGATGACTTTTTTTTCAATTACATCCACTGTTTTAAATCTTTTTCAGAATAACTTTGTGGAGTAGTATTTGTTCTGCTTGTTGTTTGTCACCACAAAAATATAACAGTCAGTAATGGAAGTCTCCATAGTTTTTATCAGTGCTGTCTGTCAATTCCTTCTTGCCTTAGTTCAGCTCTTAAAATGATACCCTCAGCTGCATTCATCAGCTGCAAGTTTAATTTTGCTTCAAACTTACCATATATCCTCCAAAAAAACCCCAAACCCACACACTGGTAGAATATTAACTAGAATATTTGTGCAGTTTAAATGCAAAGACAAATGAATACAGTATGTTTTTCTTTAAATGTTAGAATACGATATTCATTTTACATTTCTTTATAATTTATTCTCCTCTCTCTGTATTTCCAGGTATGTGTATATAAGAAATTACATTTCTGAATGCCCTTTGTGTTTGAGGGAGAAAGTAAATACATTTCAGCAAGTTGTTCCATTGTAGTTAAAAACAAAAATGAGTTATACAGCATTAAGCTTTGCCATTTTTATGATTATTATTTTAATGTAAAGTGTTGTGCTAGTTAATATCGCACATATGCATTTATTCATGGTTTTGTTGTTATTGAATAACTTGAAGACTTTTAAAATGCTAATTTTTTTTACTGGGTGGCAAATTATTTCACTTGCCATAAAGTGCACAATGCGTCCATTAACCTCACTGATTTTATGCTTTGCACGATTGCAAGGAGTAGCCTAAGGCCACCTTTCTGTGCTTCACCTGGGCTGGCTAAGAGGCAGCGTCCATAATACAGCCTCATTTACCCCTGTAGTGCACCGTTCCTCTGCCTCATTCAAGGTCACAAGGACTCTACCAAGCACTATTCGCTTTGCAGCTAAACCAGCATCTGAAAATGTAGTTGTCAAAATGTACAGCCTCACAGGACAGTAATATATTTGTCATTTTTCCTCTACTTTATTTCAATGTAATCTTGTATGGTCCTTTGTCTCCACCTTTGATACTCTAGTCTTAAATTGTGTGATTCCTGCAACAGGATACTCCAACACTTCAGGGTTATCAGGGTAAGGATTTGAGCTCAGCTCCTTGAGCCTGTGCCAGGTCAAGTGCTAAGGAGCATCCAAAGCAGGAATGTAGTCAGACTCGAAGAGGCCATGGGGAACAATAAGGAAATCTGAATTGACTCAGGAAACTTGAATACTTCTGATATCTGTGGCTGTGTTTAGTTGTGTTAGACCTGCCAGACTTTAACACAAAGATGCCGATGGCTCTGTGCTTTTCCGAGAAGCACGGTCCAAAGATGTTCATGCAGTCAGGAGTATCATAGAGCATAGCAGTGAAGGAGTCCTCTCTGGATAGGAATACAGTAAACCAGGAGAATGGAGTCAGGGAGTCATGATACACGATGTGAGATGCCCAAAAGCAGAGGACTGTCTAGATTTGAAATTGGGGCATAGAGAGTGATAAATATTTTAGTTTCTGATACATGGTCTACTGTAAGTCTTAATACACTCGACTTCGGTTGCTTTGCTTGCCACTGTCGTGGATTTTCAACACTTGCCTAGAAGTAAGGGAGGGTAGAGGTGCCTCAGAAGAAGTTTCAAGTGTCTGAGGAGGGACATATGCCACAGTCCTCTGCCGTGTCAGCTATAGCTATGGTGGGAGAGCCCCCACGTGGAGATGCAGCAGATGCTCACAGAGGGGACTTGCCTGTAGCAGAGCTGCTGCGCCACTTCCCAAACAACCTGTCCTGAGCCAACAAGGGCACCCTGCAGCTGCTGTAGCTGCAAGGGGGTCTTTGCCAGCATAGCTCTGATCACTAACAGCTATGAGTTTGTTGTTGGTTTTTTTCCACACTTCTAGCCAATGTAGCAGGACTGGCAAGTGATTGTCTTGTAGATATGGTCTTGATATGCAGTGACCAATCAAACAGCTGTGAATGGTTGAACTGAGCAGGACTCTGAAGAGAAAGCAATTTGCCTGGGGAAAAGAGGACATAAGTATATATCTGACCTAATTCAGCACCTCCCCTGTTCACTAGCATTTGGTGTAAAACCCTGAACACTTTAACCCTTTTCTACCTAGGAGTTGTAAGGCTTTACGTTTAAACCTGTTAATATCTTCCTGGAGAACAAATAGGAAACAAGAAATGATCCTTAAATGTCTGCTGCTCATATCATTATTAGACCATGTAGGAAAAAAGAATCAAAACACTTTTCAGGCCAGGTGAAGCAGCCTCATGTTATAACTTAGTTGATATATCCATAGCTATCCATGCGTATTATCGAAAACAAATGCAAACATGAGAATAATGCCAATACAAACTTAAGAAATGCTAAATATAAGTGAATGAGGAGTGATTTGTATTGATTCTCCATTGCCACAAATTCCACATTGTCATTCAGTGCTATGCTTCCCTTCAGAAAGGCATTTTTCAAAATTGCCAGTCCCTAACAAAATGTGCGTACCTAGGCCTGCAGGGAGCATGAACTTTTTATACTGTCTGCTTGCTCTTATACTGTTTCAGCAAAATTCATGCTCTTACAAATGGATTAATGTCTTGCTTGTGTTTTTTTTTTTTTCCTCTCCTTGGTGTAGCTCCAAGTGCCCCTCCTCAGTCTGTTACTGTCCTGACAGTTGGAAGCCACAACAGCACAAGCATCAGCATCTCCTGGGATCCTCCCCCTCCAGATCACCAAAATGGAGTCATCCAGGAGTATAAGGTAGAAAAGATGTTTAATGGGAGGGTTGTGTGTTTAAGGAAACAGCCTGTTTGAATTACAGAACAATAGTGTGTGTATGGATTTAGATTCTGACAGTGTTTACAGCTGCCCATGTAATTATATGGAGGACTGACTGCTTATGGAATTTTTTTTTTTTTTTTTTTTTTTAAGCAGTAGTACTGTCATATTAAAAGCAAAAATACCATGAGCTAGATCTGGAAGAGAGCTGTAATTGCCATCTAGTTTACAGTGCTTCTCATTCTTGCTTTTCCCTGCTGCAGAACAAGAAGGGTTTATTTGTTAAGGGCTTCTGCACTCTCAAGACAGGCAGTGAAGTCCCTGTCTTAGAGTGCCTTCAATCTGTCAGAAAAGCTGGCAGGAAAGTTACCTCTTATTTTCCCTGCAAAAATGCTAATCCTAACACTTCAAGGTCAAAGTCAAGGACTGTGGCTCTGGGAGAATACAAGACTTCTCCCAAGTACTGTCTCTGTCAAGATTCACAACTTGAAGTGCTAGGTTGTCTGCTCTGAGGAGCAGGTTGAACACCACTACTATATTCAGAGTTTTTATGTGAGTGTTGCCTGCACTGGTTGTGTTTTCTCCTTCTTGGTTCGAAGTATCCACTCTTTATATATCATCTTAAATTTTGTTGTATTCTGTAATTCCCCACTAAGCTCACCTTTGCACGACTATATTTTTACAACATGGAAAAAGTGCAGTGTGTTTTTGGAGTGGAGGACTACAGAGAAAATGATCAGGCAAGGTTCAGCATTGTCACAGGCTTGTGACCATGGAACACAGTTTGTTAAATAACTTTGCTGTGGTTGGCTTGTATACCTAGTGTGAAATTTTTAATTGAAATAGAGCAGCGCAGGTTTCTTGCCAGTCCCACAAAGGGTGGAAGTGGTGGATACAGCTTATTTCACACAAAAAGAGTTATATTTTTTCCCCTGCACTATCTTGAGGTAACACAGCATCGAGAAGGGAGAAAGGACTTGACTTTTAAATCAACTAATGGTTCAATCTCTTCCATTTTATCACTTGGTCAGAGGGATGCAGTAAATGCTCACAATATTTATGTTTAGGATAGCACTTCTTTTGTTTTGCTTTTAGTCAATATCAAGATTTATTAATCCCAGTATTTTATTGATCTCATTTTCATATCAATTAATAATTATCTTTTGGCTTAATTAATCTTGATACTGACTCCAGTGTAAGTCAATATTAACCATCAAGGGCTTATAGGAAAACGAGTAAAGCACGCTCCTAAACCACAAAATATGTAGATATGAAACAAAGTGGGCTGATGGTTAATAAAAGCCATGTTCCAGGTGAGTGCTCAGATCTCTAGGCTGATTATAAAACAGCTGGAGTCACTACCTATTATATCCCTTCTGTGTTAGATTAGGTGGCTGCCTGATTAACAGTGAATGTAGTGAAAAGAGTCTAATACTTCCTTGAGTATAAAATTACTACTGAGGTTTCACAGTACATTTTCTAGCAAATTGAAGGTAGATCTGTTGATTCCACTTAAGCATCAGAGTGCCTGTAAATTCATTTATGAATTAATGCCTTTAATTAGGGGCATCTCATAGCTGCTGTAACCAGACCAAGACAGACAAAGAGTGAAAAAATGAATGCAATGCTTTCTCACTCTAATGCATTCTGGCCTGCAAATAAGATTTACTTGAGCTTACGAGAACAAGGGTTTCTTTTGCTCTCCAAATCTTCCTTAGTGTTCCACAGAAAAAATACAAGGTGTGATAAAACACTGAGCAGGGTCAAAAATAAGGGTAGAGGAAGCATTGCTATTGCTTAGACAGATCAGTTGATTGCTGATAGTGGCTCCACCAATAGTGTTTTCTTCTGCTAATATAGTTATGTAGTTTACATGTGATATCTTTATGCATTGATTTTTTTGAGTGGTAGTAAATAATACAGAAGCATTATATGCAGATAACATTAACTGAAGAAGAATCCCTAATTGGTCTTAGTTTTGAAACTCCTTGGGAAAAGCCTATGGAAAAATGCAAGAGAGACATAGCACTCTGAAATCATAGACTGTTCTCATCACAAAATGCCAGTTGAGATTACAGAGTGTTTTTACTGTTTAATTAAAGAGTAATTGAGTCAGGAACTGATATCTGGATTCCTGAACAATTTAAGTGATCACAAAAGCAGTGGTAAAAAGTGAGTTTGTACTTACTCCATTTCAGAAGTTTCATATATCCCTATTACGCAGTGAAAGGAAGTTAAAAAGCGTTTTCAAATTTGTTTCTTCTTTAGTACTTTAAGAAGTGTTTCAACCTGTGCTTGTATTATTTGGTGTCCTTTTGCTATTCAGTGGGAAATTAAGAATGAAAAAAATGTGTATTTTTTTAAGGAAAGTCTTGGTGGTAATCATATTACTGAACAAAATTTCAATTAATGTATAATGCCTTTTTTCACTTGGATGATTCTGGTCTGTGATTCTAAGAAGTGTAACCGCAAAATTTGCACTCCATGGAGAGCCAGAGTCCAGAAAAGTATTTGCAAGCAGTCTTTGCAAGAGGTATTTGCAAGCAGATAGCATAGGTTTGATGCTATGCTAATCTGGGATATTTTACTAAACTAAATCATGCCAATTCTAGCTATTCCTGGACAGTAACATTGTTAAGAAGTCCAAAATAAGTGATTGTCATGTAGTACCTTGATATGTCGTATCTATCTATGCACGATTGTTTATGAGTATGAAGAATTTCGTATTTTTTAACACATCAACTTTTGTCCCAGATCTGGTGCCTAGGTAATGAGACTCGATTTCATATCAACAAAACAGTAGATGCAGCCATTCGGTCTGTAGTAATAGGTGGCCTATATCCAGGTATTCAGTACCGCGTGGAAGTTGCTGCAAGCACCAGTGCAGGTGTGGGAGTAAAAAGTGAGCCACAACCCATAATAATTGGTAAGTGATTGTCTGTTTTGTTGTTTTGTTTTGCCTGTTTTGGCTTTCAGAGATGCTTTCATAAATCACTTCTGGAAGCATAAAAATCCATGGAGCAAAAGACGAGATTTGAATAGAGCTAGTTAGCTTTTAACGTCCCACTGCCTGCTGACGTTGTGTTTTCTCTTTGTGCAGAGTTCTTACAGCCAATGAAGGGAAATATGTTCCCGAGACATATGAGAAAATGCAGATAATCTAGTGAAACTGATTTAATATTTTTTTTAAATGAATTTACCACTTCTGCAGGTTGATGGATTTATGGAACTAACAGCTTGAGCTCCCTTTTCCTCCTATTCAGATGACTGTGATATTGCCTTACTCATACTGTTGGTGCCTAAGGCACTATTTACAGTTGGTTTTCTGAATATTTGAAGTCAGTGTTTCTCGGGTATCCCAAGCAGACAAGCTTCCTTTGTCAAAGAATAAGTGGCCTCTAGTCCAAATAGAGAGCAACGGTAGTATTGTCATCCCTCCCTTTGAAAGGATTGTTTTGTATTAGCGATTTCCATGCTGAATTAATTTTCTGACCTGAGGGAAACAGATTCTGTTTCTTCTGAAATTCTCCTCAAATATAAAATATAAAGGCAGGAACAATATGGGAAAGGTAAGAATAGGAGAAGCAATCATGTTTAGCAAAAAATTGAATTGAGCTGTGCAGAGCAGCACCTCTTTCAAGTGTGTAATACAGGAATTTTATTGCTTTTATCTGTATGGCCGGATTTAGTTATTAATTAAATGGGCTTTTCTTTCTTATTTTGTTATTAAACATTTTCTTTATAGAAAATTCTTGTCAACACGATGTCCCAAACATGGACTATTCTGTTATGTGGAGACCTTTAGAAAAGGCCATCCCCTAAGCATTGCTTAAATGTTAAATGATATTCAGGTTCCCTATGCAGCAAAACAGAAATTGGGGTACACCAACTTTGAATAAATTGTCACTGGAGAAGGAAATATAAGACCGGAGGTGAAGGTTGCAATGGTTTTAGGAAAAGGCAGCCACAGAAACACCAAAGAAAAAGAGGGAAAAAAAGTTTTCTAGAACTGAAAGTGAGAAATTGATTTTTGAATGTGTAAGGAACCTGTCATCCAACAGGCCTGAATTTTGGACCTCTGTGTAAATGACTGATGTTGTGAGACTAGTCTGTCACTGCATTCACTTTGAGCAGGACTTTTTCTTATTTCACTAAGGAGTCCATCTAGCCAGGGACTAAACACACTGAGCTTGTTCCAACAAAACATTTAAGCATATTATATTTTAAGCTCGTGAGTAGCCTTGTGTCACTTAAGGTGTTGTGAGTTAAACTTACACCAAAGTGCTTTGCTGGATAAATCCCAGAATGTTCAGCATCTGACTACAGTCCTTCATCCTGACTTTTTCCTTACCAAAAATGACTAGTATAATCAAGAGTTAAATATAGAGAGATCTGTGTTGTTGCAGGAAGGAGGAAAGGAATGTTAGGATGCAAATAAAGTACAAAAGAAAGAAAAAAGCTATTTGGCATTTAGAGACTGAATTTTACATTGTTAAACTTAGCAGTGATATTTATTTGTTCCTTAAATGATCCCAGAATGTCTGCTTTGACTAGTCTGTCTGGTGGCACCTTTGCAAATTCAAGAGTCCTTAGCAGGAAAAGTAAAGGAGTGTCTTTTCTGTTTTGATTGTGTTTCTATTCTCATTTCTGTTTTCCCTTTTGAGAGCCCAAAGCTGGATGTGGTTATTACTTGTATGGTCTGTATCTCCCTTTTCTGTAAGCATTTTTGTATTGCTTACAAATTGCTGGCAGTTATTTCTCAGACTATAAATTTGCTTGATAAAGGTAACAATGTTTAAGTGATATAATTTCTGGAAGATTTGACTTGGTACCACTCAATGTTTGACTGAGAATCAAGAATATAAAATAAGAAAATGAATTTTTTAGGTAAATCGAAAAAAAAAATCGCATGGATTAAAAATGACCTAGTGAACAAACCTCAAAACATCATCATGGATGGGAAAACATTATTGAATTATTGTATTATATTGGATTCTCATATGATCTGGTCCTTAGATATACTATTTAACAGGTTGCAAACAGAATGAACAATTGCAGAAATGCAGAAATTGCAGGTCAGTGATGCAGAACAGTTAAGCCAAGTTGCTAAACAGTATGACTAATCATCATGAAATGCAGAGTCCAGTGTGTAAAAAGAAAGAAAATGTTATTCTTAAATATAAGTTATGTTTTTCAAAGAAGGTGGCTGTTTGGGTTTTTTTTTCTGAAAAGAACTGATTTTCATGGTGGATAATCAACTACTGAATTCCCAGACCAGTTCTAAATAACAGACCTGTGACAATCCAGAAAGTAAAACCAGAAGAATATGGAGCAATATAAAGCACATTATTTCTTTGGTTAGGAATTGTGTCTCTGTTAGAGGAATCCTGTTCCCATGCTTTAAGCAGGACATTGAAAAATTTTATGGAAGACTCAAAGAGAATCAACAATAAAGTTTTTATGATCACTTTTGACATGCTAAAAAATTTCACTTGGAAAACCAGAAATAAATCTGGAGATAACGACAATGTTGATTAATGGTATAACTATTATTTCTCTTCATCAGTTAGCCTGTTCACTCTTACATTCCATCATTGGCATAATAATATGAGGAACAGCTGCAAACTTTCACAGTAATAGGTACAATCGAATCTGATGTGTCTAATTAATTTTTGGTCCGACAAATTAGTTTTGTTCTTCATTACTCTCCAATGGGAGGAAGACATTATATTTCATTATGTTTTTGTCTTCAGAAACAATGGAGCGTTACAGGTCGCACACTTCCCTTGTCTATGTTCTAATTAGTTGAACTGACAGCATTGTTACAGAAACACCTGCAGTATATGAAATAGTACACTGGTACCTTGGATGACGTATTTAGTACTTCTGCTTAAATATTATATAAAGAAATACAAAATGCATGCTGTTTGTTTCCCCAAACCCCAACAATTATATTAATTTTATCAAATGTCATTGAGTAACGTTCATCTGTATCCATTTATTTTTTTATTCGTTGAATTCACAAAGCATACATTATGGTGAAATGTAAATGAATTATTACTTTTGCAGTTGTGTTTGCTAAACATTGAGGAGTAAGAGCAAACAGCCAGACTGCAAACTTTAGAAGGTAATTTATAGACAGATTACACCTTCCCTCTAAAAGAGGGAGAGCATAAAGTCCACTGAAAGTTCTCCCCAGGCTCTCTGCAGTTTGCTCTTACTTCCTCCATTCTCAAAAGACCTTAGAGAAGAAAACAGGATCTTTGGACTTTTTCGAGGTTTTAGTGGAAAGCACGTGTTCTTTTCTTGAGTCCAGGAGTGTCCGCTCCCAAAGCTGATGTCTCTGAAGTGCTTCCCTGCCCTCTCTTCTCCATAGCAGCACAGCTGCCTCAGAAGCAGTGCTGACCTTACCTGTTTCCTCACCATCCGGCTGCTTTTACCTCTCCTCCAAAGGGCACAGAAATTAACTGAGAGTTAATGACAATTATAGCAACATCAGCTCCCATGCTGATTTCTACTAGCAAATCAATTTTGTGCCTGGAAGGGCATGCCATAGAGTGCCCCTTTCTATTAGTTTTACTCTCAGCACTTCTTCTTTCAGCGCTAGGGTGCACCAATGGATTGGTTCCATGGTCAGAAAAAAAGGGGAAAATCTGATGGAGTCACTGCCTCCCTTCTTTTCCTGTCACAGGTGCTCACTGAGTTTTATTCCCGTTTACTGCATCAGGACTGGAAACTATCGGTCCTTTGGCAGCAGTAAGACAAAATATGGAAGGACAGCTGCAGCCACCAGGTCCTGACGCTAGTAAAGCTTACCAGCATGGCCAGTATAGACTGGTACATGACACAAGTACTGGTGTACTGCCTTTTTCTACATTAGCCGGTGTAGTCTGTCAGCATCCTTCTGTGGGACCTATTTTGTGTGCGGGAAGTCTGTTTTATTTCTTGCACAGTACTACTGAAAGCAAGCCAAGCTCTAGCACAGCTTCAGCACTCTGTTTGCAAAAGCAGACGGTCATCATTACTAAATATTGACATGGTGCTGAAAGAGAGAAAGCTTAATAAAATCACTGAGATCATTAACAGTGTGATAGCAATGTAGTGCAGTGCATTGCATCTCTTCCGGAGTGTCTCAGTCCAGCTCTGAACACAACTTAGGGCCTGAAGCTGTGTCTTGGCTCGGGCAGCGCCAGTCCCCGCAGCGGGGTGACAGCCTGGGCAGGGAAGGTGCATCCGGCCTTCATCTGCAGCTTGCCTGGTGTAAACTCTGGGTCTCCTGCAAAGAGGTGTCTGTGGAAATAAAACTGGAAGTGTCAGACTTCTCGCATCTGCTTAAGCCAGCAATTTGTTTATTTGCTTTAGGCTGAGGCCAGTTTGCTGATGCTGTTGAAAGAAGCGAGCGGTGAATTTAACCGTTGCTGAATTTTAGAAGAGGAATATATACGTTTTCACAGCAAGACATAATGCTACAACACTTTTGATAATTTCCTCTGAGTTACCACTTCAGGGTTTTTATTGCCATATTTATTGCCACACCTTTACGTGTGTGCGATAGACTCGTATAATTTAGAATCATATAATTTGCATCTTTTTTGTCTCAGTAGAGTAGCTACTCTTGGATCTCTTCAGCATGCGTACAGGCATCTGGTAATACTGTATAAACATTTCAAGGATTGAGCTATATAAATGCTTTTACTGGAAATGATGGATAATTTTTTAACCAATTTTAAAACTGCAGATGTGGGCGGTTTATATCAAATGTATATATAATCAATATACATATATTTTTTTCAGAAAAATATAGTCCACACTTCCTAATTTTAAAACTAACTATTTTTGACAATGGAAGGTTTAAAGTAGAAAAGTGCTGTCCCTAGAACAATATGCTTTGGCATTTCCTGAATTTCTATTCACATCTTTTATGTTCATTTGTTTTCAAGCCAGACACCAAGATTTTCCTTTTAGAAAAGTTCCTTGTTAGAGAAAGAGGATGAAAAAAACAGTGAGACACTCTACTGAAATTTACAGTTTTCTAATATAATATATCCTATTTAAGATCCTATATAGTAATTTTTGATGCATATCACTTTAATTGGTATTCCACATCATAATTATTTCTTACAGGTTGATGTTAGGGATTTTTCATGCCTGTTCTACATGAAAAAAAAATAGCATCTGTTGCTGTGATTGTTTAGAACTTACAGTTAACCATGTGATTTTCTACTTCCTGTCAAAGCTGGTGCAGTTTGGATTTGTATGGATTGTTTTCCCCATGAAATAATTGCTAGAAAAATGCATCTTTGCTCTAGTTGAAAATACATATTTGTTTTTTTATTATTTTAAATTTGGAAACTCTAGCAAGCCATGAGAACAAATAAGTTAAGTAAGAATTTTTGGCATGCTGACAATGAGTGAAGAAACTGTCATTCGATGTTGTAACATATTTTGTATTTGGATTCTTATTTAGAAAAAGCTATTTCTTGATTGCCTGATTTTTTTTTTTTATTTTTTTTGCTTGGTTTCCTATGATTGATTTTCTCATCATTGTATTCTGCCTATAATTATGTAAAAAAAACCCCAACAAACATGTATATTGTTAAAAAAAAGAAGTCTCTGGACTCTCATGTCTTAGATTACTTGAGAGAGTGCTGTAAAACTATCTTTCCAAATATGTTATCAAAATCACAGTGGATGATGGATTTACTTTCTAGAAACATTGGGTTTTAGGTGTGCTTTGGTACTCATTAAAGCTCTCCTACTTTGGTTAATTCTTTTAAGATACATTACTGTTTTGTTTTTTTTAATTTTCATTTGCAATACTTGGTTCCTGTTTGTATTACAGAATCCATAGTAACAACATTCTCTGGAATTTCTTTTGTGCAGGAGGTCGTAACGAAGTTGTCATCACTGAAAATAACAACAGCATAACTGAGCAAATCACTGATGTTGTCAAACAGCCCGCCTTCATAGCTGGCATCGGTGGTGCATGTTGGGTAATTCTGATGGGTTTCAGCATCTGGCTGTACTGGCGCAGAAAGAAGAGGAAGGGGCTCAGCAATTATGCTGGTAAGAACAGTAATTATTTATTAGCATCTCATCAGGTTCTATCATGAAGAGAACAGGTGCTGTTAAAAAACTTGTTGAACTTACAGCCAAGGTGGCCTGGGTGAATTTTGGATGCTTGTTTTAAATGTATGCTGTGAAAATGCCGGTGTATGAGAAGCTTTAAATGCATTGCTCGGTAACACATTTCATCATTACCATAAGGCAGTCTTTATTTTTACATCTCCAGCACATCTAGCATAAAAAAGTACAAAGAGGATTAATTGTACCTCTTGTTCCTTGCTCAGAAGGCACTCTGTTAGCAGTAAAGCCCCATTTGTGTGCTCAAACGTGAATTAGACTAGACCCTTACAAGGATGGTTAGAAAGAGTACTTGGTCTTCTCCTTTTTCATTCCCATGCATTTCCATGTCTTTGAAGCCATGTGCATGGGAAATGAGCGGAGGTACTTAATAAGTGACTCCATACCTATAGTTGGAGGAGAATAGTATTAGATAGAGGAGTATGGTCAAAATTTACCTATGGCATAAGCCACAGAAAGTTTTGTCTTGAAGGTAGAGCACCTTGGAATGCCCTCAGGATGTGATCCCTCTTGTACCAAATGTGTTTCTCCAGTTACAAATTAGTTTTTGAAAACTACATTTGGAAAAATAAATACATTTGCCAAATGAAGATATTTTCTTCCTCCTCTAGACTGTTTGGTTTCTGTATTATTCTGTGCTTCAAGATTCTTACAGATTTTTAAGAAGTCAGGTGAATTGTCATAAAATGGGTCATTGAAACCTAATTTAACACAAAAAAGGTGTTCTTCAAATATTGGGGTAGGTTGCCTTATAGCGCTTATTAACATTTGAAAAAAGAAAACGTTTCCTTTTTGAGCAAGATTTGCACAGTTGAGGACACAGCATATTTAATGTTGACGTATTACACTAAAGATACACTTGTACTCTTCTATTTACAAATTATCCCATGTGAACCCAAGGACACAGGTTCCCTAAGTGGCTGAGCATCTCTAACAACTTGCCAAAACCCAACATTCTGTCCCTGCTCACAGCCAAGTAGTCGTATGCCTCCTCACCTTGGTGTTAGCCATCATCAGGCTTCTCAATGTCCTCAATAAACCATAAGGAAACTACTCTGTGTTGTTTTTCAATCCTGCCTGCTGGATTAGTTTTCCACTGGCTTAGTGAAACAGGGCAGCCTAAGAAGAGAACAGATGAGCAGTGAAAGCAGAGGGAGGAGAGACCCTTTCAGCAGCTCTTGGACTGACTTGTTTTCTCTGGAACCTCACTTTGCATCACCATGTGGCCTGTATCATTCATAGGTTATGCTTTTTGATGAGGTGGTTTTTTCTTTCCTTTGATAGTGATGACTTTTACTCTTTGAGATGTGGCATGGTGTTGATTGAGAAACTAATGTATAACACACGCACCTACATATATGTTTATATGAAATATCAGTCTAGATGCCATGATTTTTTATGTTAAGAAGCGGCTGTATTGTTATTCCTCTTGGGAAAGAATCCTATACATAAAATTTGGACATAAGCTAAGACTAGTCTTTTTTTAAAAGCAGAATTATTAGCCCTGTATGTGAGTTGGCATGTTGTGGGTATGAGATTGAGAGCAAAGTCTTCTATATCTTAAAATGCATAGCTGTAAATAATAATAATACTCATTATAAACAGTGTGTCTCCTGCAACTCATTCCTTCTCGTGATGTTTGCTGCATCTAAGTGTGATGTGAACATTGCATCATGGCACAGAATTCCCATCATCAGAATTGCGAAATAATGTATGCTTTCAACAAAGAAAGTTCATAACAGATCATGCTTCAGAATTCATCCTAATGTTTACAATTTGGAAAACAGCATGTCCACACAGAAAGTCTTCAAATGTGACTGTCAAAATTCACTGCTCACCTTTCCAACCATCATTCCTCATTGGCTGCTGGCTGGTCAGTGCTTTAAGCTCAACTGTTATGTCCTGCTTATGCTATTCAACCACAACTAAGTAAATTCCAGAAGAAACTCGTACCCTGCAATTAACACTTGTTATCAGGGTGTGTAACTCACAATGTGTTTGCTTTCTTGTTTTGCAGTTCAGTCCTTCACCTTCACCCCTGCAGGTACTGTCCATTAGTCTGTCTCTTACCTCACCAACACATCATTGCAAACATTACCTATTTAAGTGACTATGAGCATGTGAGATATGCAGAATTAAAACCAAATAGAAGGAGAAATACTTCTGCTGCCTATCTGTGATAAAAATGTAGCATTCATTCTCCTAGCGATTCCAGGGGCATATGAAATCCACCAGCATTAATGTCTCTGTCATTATAATTCTGCATACTACTTACTCATGTAACTCCTCAAAATAATGCAGTTTTGAAAGTAATTTGCAGGACAAAATGCTTGAACTAGCTTAACATAAACAAGCATTAGTTGTATATCACTGAATTTTTATCTTAAAGCTCAAAAAAAAGTATCTTGAACATTTTTTAAGATCTAACTGGAGAAATGGAACTTTCTTCCACTTTAGCTGTTAGTTGCATATATGTTGGTCTTACCGTGAGGTGTTCAGATCTTCAAGCAATCTAGTGATTAACTTCTGCATGTGTTGCCTTTACAGTGTTTTTCGAAATTGAAGCATTTGCTTTTTTCTGCCTACACAATTCAAAGATGATATCCTAGTTTTCATATCTTTAATAAACATAGCATACGGTAGACCATTATTGTAAGCGTGATTAAAGATATGTAAAGAATAAACGAAGTGTGGCTGAAACAGCAGGTTGCAAACAGCTTAGTCAACATATGGTTAGCCATTAAAAATAGAGTACACAATTAATATTAATAATTAATACAAATAATTAGCTTCTGCTCTCATACCTAAGCTTGAGATTCAAAAACTCAAAAATAATTATACCTCGATGTTACAGCATAAAGGGCTGATACAGCATTTTCCAACAGAAGTCTGTAAAGTTTTTGCATGTAGCTTGGCCCCTCAGTTGCACTTACCAAAGCTCTTCTTCTGTCCCCTCTGCCGTCCATGTGATACAGACTAGCCTTCCTACTGCACTGCTGAGCTGGTCCTCATGCTCAGCAAGCTGCTTTCTTGCTCTTGCTTATCTTCAGCCACAGCTTGAGTGTTGTCTTGGTTTCAGCTGGGATAGAGTTAATTTTCTTCCTAGTAGTTACTGTGTTTTGGAGATTTAGTATGAGAACAATGTTGATAAAACATATTGTTTTAGTTGTTGCTCAGTAGTGCTCATATTAAGTCAAGGACTTTTTCAGCCTCCCATAGAAGCTGAGAGGGAGCATAGACAGGACAATCTGGCCAAAGGCATATTCTATACTATAGACATCATGCTCAGTATATAAATGGGGGTTGGCCGGGGCGCAGGAATCCGTGATCGCTGCTCAGGACAGGCTGGGCAATCAATCATCAGGTGGTGAGCAGTTGTATTGCATCATTCTTTTTGTATATGCTTTTGCCATTATTATTATTTTCTCTTCTGTTACTGTTCTATTAAACTATCCTTATGGTTTTTTGTTTTTTTCCTTTTGCTATCTGGGGGGTGGGGAGTGAGTGAATGCCTGAGTGGTCCTTATTGCTAGCTGAGGTTAAACCACAACCATGTTTAGCTTAGAAGGACAGACCAGATTGACTGAAGGTGGTGAAGTCTGCCCCAGGGCCCTGTGTTGTGAGAGAGAAGTGTCCTTGTGGAGAAGCTCTGGGGTCTCAGGAATTGCTTCTTTGGCTTCTGGGCAGGTTTGGTCAAGTGAGTGTAAGATGTGGCACAACACATCCTACCCTAAATGCTTTACATGCTTTTCTTTGAGACACAACAAAGCATTTTTTTACAAAATGAAATAATGCATCTTTTCATTCAGTTCCTAAGGTTATGCCACTGTCAGCTGTCGTGTAACTGTGGTGACTTTTTTCCATTGTCTTTGTAGTATACATTGACATGACACAGGGTTGTGCTGGAGCCAGAGTGACTGTGCATGATTCATGATTTCTGGGGAAGGGGCATCTACCAGCTCTTGGGCAACATGTTTCCAATGTTTCACCACTCTCATTGTAAAAAATTTCTTCCTTATATCTAGTCTAAGTCTACTCTTTTTTAGCTTAAAACCATTACCCCTTGTCCTATCACCACAGGCACTGATAAATCGATTATCCCCATCTTTCCTTTAAGCCCCCTTTAAGTACTGAAAGGCCACAATAAAGTCTCCCTGGAGCCTTCTCTTCCCCAGATTGCACAACCCCAGCTCTCTCAGCCAGTTTGCATATGCTCCAGCCCTCTGATCATCTTTGTGGCCCTCCTCTGGACCTGCTCCAACAGGTCCATGTCTTTCCTGTGCTGAGGGCTCCAGAGCTGGACACAGTACTCCAGGTGAGGTCTCACCAGAGCAGAGTAGAGGTTCAGAATCACCTCTCCTGACCTGCTGGCCATGCTTCTTTGGATGCAGCCCAGGATACAGTTGGCTTTCTTGGCTGCAAGCACACATTGTCAGCTCATGTCAAAGGCACTGCCAAAAATTTGCTTTTATAAAAATAGTTTTGATATTTCATGGACTTTATAGAACTATAACAGGACATAGTTCTGTTTCCTGTCCTATAATTGTTTCTGGAGGCACTGAGAATGTAAGTCATCCAGTATTAAAGTCCAAAAAAAATCATTTTTTTAAAAAAAGTTGTTCTTCTGAAAGAACATAGTCCATGTTTTTAATCTTTATACCCAGGTTCCCTAAAAACATCATTAGTTCTCTAATATTTGAATTTGCCATTGATTATATCACTTAGACAAACTTATCTATGCTTGTGGAGGTTTGATGATACAACTGTGAGTTTCTCCCTTCAAAGTTATGATTCATAAACAATTTATTTTCAGATCTAAATATTTAGACAGTGATATGTAGACAGAGACAGCTGTCGATAAAGTTTTACCATAGATGAATTTATCCTAATACAGTGATTTTAGGAGATGCACACTTTTTGTT